CTGAGGTCCAGTCTGCTTGTTCAGGTGTATGTTAAAGATCTCATGCCACTATTTGAAGAGAAGAGCTTTTCCTTGGTGTCCTGGCAAACAAACCCCTTAAGATTGGTCATTTACTTCATGACGGTTTGTGCCACATTGCTGCAACTAACTTAGGTGCCGCATTAGGTGTCTACAAATAGACACTGCACTTCACATTAAAAACTAGTGAAGCATTTTGAGACGTCTTGATGACATGATAAGGAAGGCGCCATATCAAGTGCATGGATTATTATTATAGAAAATTCAAATGTAGAGAATTAAAAATAATTTCTAGGCCACAGTTTTACTGACTATGCTGATACACTCAGTGGAAAATTGACAAACTCTGGCAAAAACATTACAATAAACTGCAGACTTGCAACACCAGAGTATAGATTCAGCTATTAAAAATAGGTTTCCATTGTGTGGGTTTTACAAGGCAAACAGCTTTAAAAGGTCTGCCAAATCTCAGCTGCCTGTTGTAATTTATATAACATAGCCCTTTCCTATGGATTTTTTTTAATGGAGTCTGTCAGGAGCTATGATTGAGAGCACAGCAGCCAGCAAAGCACTATATCAACATTCACAATTACAGTATCTGATTTGGAATCACTTAATTGAAATGAAAGACAATAGTTGGTTACGGCTCATGGTATAAAATTGAGGTTAGGTTGTGTGCAAGTTTGAATGCAGATAATGAAGTTGTTTTAGTATGATTTCACAGGAATGTGCTTCTTTCTCCATTTGACCATGATTTCCACTTACCTGCGAAAGCAATTAACATTTCAACAAGATGGCTGCTGTGCTCAGTGATTAAACAGAAAGTTAGCCCTTGCATATAATTAATCTCATTGAAGCTATTTCCTTTAACTAGACACAGGATAAAACAAAGCATTTTTCTTCCCTTTAATCTAATTTACAACCTCCCACACAAACACACATCATTAACTGGACATTAAAAGGAATATTTCCCCCCACCAACTAGGGTAGTGAATATATGAAACAGACTCCCAACAAAAGCAGTTCATGATGTCAATTAACTCCTTGAAAACATAAATGGATAAACATCTACTTGGTAATAGGTTTAAAGGAAGTAGGAATAAGCAACAACCGACATCAAATACATATTTAAATCAGCTATTAAACTATACTTTAAACTTGCAACTGAAATGAGGATTTAAAAATTATAGACATTTTAGTGGCCAGCTGTAATCCTCAAAAGATAATCTTGATTTATTTTAAGCACAGTATCTCAAAAAGTATTACGTAAAAGGAGCAAACTTGGATTAGGAGTTATGATTATTGGCTTTTAATTATTTGAAATATACAGAAAATGCATTTGAAATTTCAAAACTGCACAATAAAAGTGCATTCATATTCATGATGGTGTGAACCTTAAATTATAAAGGTAAATAATGGATTTCTTGATGCACCTTTACTCATTCATCAATTTAAGATTAAGATTACAAATCAGCCCACAAATTAAATTAGCAATAATTTAGAAAATATTAATATAGAAAATTATGGACAATAATTCTTACACAGTAGTCAGCTAGATGCACACAAACTTCCTTAAGATTAGAATATGCAAAGAGTGCCTCCAAGTGGGTATACTTAGTTCTGTATTGAGTTTAACTAGCCACCAGATGTGACTGAGTTGCATCAAGACAGATTGCGAAAGAGAAACCTTTAATCGCGTTGCAATTTAAGAAGGTGGAATCATATTTAGGGAGATGACCTGAGTTTGTCCTGAATAATAATAATAATCCTTGCATTATACGACCTGATTCTGGGTCAGGGTTTTGTATGTAGCAGAGCAGCTCCCTTGTTGCACTCTATTGAAAGTCAGCCTTAATAAGGAGGATAGCACCAGACTCCAAGAGGATTTAGACAGATTGGTAAAATGGGCAGAAACCTTGCAGATGAGGTTTAATGTGGAGAAATGCGAAGTGTTGCATTGTTAGGAAGAATGAAGAGGTGGTATAAGCTAGATGGTACAGTCTTAAAGGGGGCAAATGAACAAAGAGACCTGGGGATCCACATAAGCAAATCTCTGAAGGTGACAGGACAGGTAGATAAAGCTGTTAAAAAAGCATATGGGATACCAGGTTTTATAAATAGGGGCATAGAATTCAAAAGTCAGGAGGTTATGTTGAATATTTATAAAATGTTGGTTAGGCCTCAGTTGGGAGTACTGCGTTCAATTCTGGGCACCGCACTTTAGGAAAGATGTTAGGCCATTGGAGAGGGTGCAAAAGAGGTTTATCAGGATGGTACCAGGAATTAAGGACCTTAGATATCCTAGCAAAACTAGGATTATTCTCCCTAGAGCAGAGACGATTAAGAGGGGATTTAATAGAGGTTTTCAAGATCATGAGAGGATTTGATAGGTTGAACCGGAAAAAACAGTTTCCACTGGCATGTGGGTCAGTAACCCGAGGACACCGATTTAAGTTAGATATTAAAAGAAACAGAGGAGGTTAGGATTTTTTTCTTCACCCAGCGAGTTGTTCGGATATGGAATGCATTACCTGAACGGGTAGTGGAAGCCGATTCAATAACAACAAGAGAGAAGTAGATGGGTATTTGGGGAGGACAAGGTTGCAGGGCTATGGAGAGAAAGCATGCCAGTGGGATTGAGTTGGATTGCTCTTTTCGGAGCTAGCGCAGACACGATGGGCCGAATGGCCTCTTTCTGTGCTGTACGATTCTATGAGATATCGCGCCTTATCACATCTTTGAGGCGTCTCAAAGCGCATCACAGGATATACTGTAAAGTGTATTGACTGTATATTTTGTGGGCAAAATAGTGCAGAGACCAGGCACCCTACTGTATTTGTATGAGAAATACATACTTGAACTGTTTTCCAAAATAGTATGAGTAACATATCCAAACTCAAAACTCTTCCAGTGGAGGGAGGCTCTATGCATTTAGGATTCAAAGCAGAAGCGAGTACATGTTTAACAAACATCTGTTCCTTATTTTCTTAAGCAAGCTGCATCCAAGTACTGTTGGGTGAAAGTATAAGAATTAATGTAAGGGACTGGTTTGCAGATGCCAATTTGGCTGAGTCTAAGTGGAAGCAATTTGTATAGAAAAAGAAACTAAAGATTAGCTTTAGATTTTTCCCACTTAGCTCCTTTTAATTCTACAAAACAAAGTCCTAATAGGTCATTATGGTCCTCACTGGGCAAGCAGGACCGACTGTAAGCTTGCCAGTTAGTGTTCACAACAGCAAGCTACATTGTTTTAACTGGTTAATCACCAGCAATTTACCAATGTTCGCTCTGAGATCCCTAAACCTTGATTCTTGCATTGAATACCTGCTGAGATTAGATAAGCATAAGGCCATAAAAATTTAGAGGCACAGAAGGTCATATACTCCTATAGTCCCATTTATTGACATGCAGCAGGAAGTTTGCCAGACGATGCTCTCAATAGCATGACGTTTTAGCTGGTTAAACTACAACAGTACCACATCGCACACTTTGGGGTACCGAAGCCTTAACCCTCATCAATCTGTGCCTAATATTCTCTAAATTAGGAAAGCAGGGTGTATCCCTCCAAGGGGAAGAATGCATTCCACTCCTGACAAGGGGAAAATTCCATATATATGCATGTATGTAAAACTCAAGTCTGGTTTTGACGTTCTTAGTGATGGCATATGACACTTGGCTGACCAAAAAAACAGTTCTATATAACTAAATGACAATTTGGGAGCAATATATCAGTTATAATTCAATGAAAGTATGTAATTTGCATGTTCTATTAACTATGTGTTTATTACAGTATTGTTATTCACAATGGCTGGAAGATGTTTTCTGATCTTGAAGTTTTAAGTGCTGTTGAAGGGGCAAAATACAGTATTCACCGTCACAGTTGCATGATGACCATGAAGCAATAATTGTTTTACACACCATCAGTTACAAGGTGGACACACGTTCGTATTTAAGAACAGTTAGGAAACTGCAGTATATATGTTTATTAGGCTGTACATAAATAAGTCAATGGTATGAATACTTTAGACAACATTTTAGGTGGCATTAAATGACATCAACAGACAATGAAATGTCCCATTTCTTAACTATTATAATAAATGTTTTAACAAAATAAGATGGGATACTTTACCAACTGAAACAAAAAAATCTCTAAACAATGACAGACTTTTTTTCATTATGGCATTTAAAGTGTTAGCGTGATAGGTGACCATTTGTGATTCAGTAGTGCAAATGAGAATGTCAAAAGCTGTTAAATGCAAGTTTGCCAAACTGTACAGTCAGTTTACGAACGGTCTCATGAATCCCACAGTTTGTACAAAAACTTGTTAGAAAAAGGGAAACTTTTGGACTTTCCAGGTATTTTGTTTATCCTAAATCCATTTGGAGAAGACATGTAAGAAAATATTTTGATTGGCAACTGACTTAAAGAGGCAATAGAGCAAAGGCTTGATGCCTCTTGATTCACAAAGTATGGTCTGTCCCAAACATATGAAAAGTATCCCTAGTTTTTGTAATAAAATTTAAATACAAGTATATAATAGAACAAATACTCACTGCAGTTATGTAGCTATCTTTGCAAACAGTGTAATGTATAGCCCTCAACTGCAGTCATTATTTATAGTTAATACACAGCTACTTTTCTAGGCAATAATGCAATCACTATTTAGTGGAGTAACAAAATTTACTTAGATTTCAGGATAAAAAAAACAAATGCATCACATTTTTCCACATCAAATGTTATGTAAAATTGAATAAAGCAAGCCACTTTTACATACATCCTAAGATTAGCATTGTCATTTATCGGCACAATGTGTTAGATGCTATCAAAAATTCAGGGTTACAATTTGTTTTCCCGAACCGTTAAAAAGACATATTGCATACAATTTCCTAAAACCATCTTATTGTTAACTTAAATATCATGTAAGAATTTAGTTTTCACATACATAGTGCTAAATGTGTAAACGTACACAAATTCAATTCAGTTGTGTGAAGTTTTAAGATTTTATTAGCGTTATGGTACAGAAAGAAAATAAACTTTATGGCAATATATGCCAAAACGTGACTTTGTTTTTTTNAAGAAGAGCTACTGCAGCATCATGCAGTATGCAGTAACCCTAAAGCCAGTGCAAAATACCACAAGCTCATTTCCCCTTGTATCTCGATTATGCAGCACACAGTGCAGTTTCACAAAAAGCAGTCTCTGCATGCTTTTGCAAATGGTAAAGCCGCCATAGTTGTGGGATATTTTGACCTCCAATGAAAATTTAAAGCTGAAGCTTGAAATAAGATGGGTCAGGCTTCTAATCTGTTAAATGAAGAAACAGTTTCTGAAACTGTTTTTGGCACCTACATGTGATGGATTCTCTTGTGCATCTCATTTGAACTCTGGTGAAATTCCATGAAACCGTGCATATTTGCAAAAACCAAAGTCACTCCCATGAAAGTTTCTTATAACATTGGAGTCCAACTGTGCTCCTTGATTCAAGGAAGAGTAGGTGGCTCACTATGGGTTTATTGAATGGTGCTTCTTGACTAGGATTCATCACGTAATGCATGAGTAACATTTCTTTTTGTAGACAGTCTTGGTACTTCAGATCTACAGGCTTCAAATTGAGAGTTTGAAGGAGACTTTTCTTTCTGTTTTGCAGGTAAGAGGCAAAAAGATGAGAAAAGAAAGAATTGAGAAAGATTTTAGATAATAGAAATTTGCGAAATGATAGAATGAGAAACAGTTCAAAATGCCACAAAAGCGACATGCATGGGAAAGGATCAAGTGAGTGGAAAAACAGTATAGGACACAACATTTTCTTTAAATGACAAAAATGAGCTATGCTTAAATGCATCATGCAGTATTTTTCCTAATATAAAGTCAAAACTGTAACATATTAGAAAAACTTATTTTTCTTTACCAATTCATATTTCAGGCAATGGGGCTGACAAATGCTTCATTGAAGGGAAACAATTGTTTTTAACCTGAACTGTCAAAATAAAAGGAAGAAATCGATACACTTGGATCAAATATTTTGTGTTGAATTCTTCCTCCAGTAACATCTTGGAAAACAAAGTGCATCTGCAGCAATTGATGCATACATTTTATTCAAAATATTTGTTCCCAGATAGCTGTTGGTGAACAGGTTTGAACAATAAAAACATTAGAAGGATGGAGACAGACACCTGGAAGGGTATAGGTATCTCTCTTCGTAATAATTAATATTACATGGTAATTTGAATGAAGGCATTCTCTCCTTACAATTAATTGGGATATTCCTACAAGCGCCCTGAGATACGCTACCTGCGTGATGGGCGCAATATAAATGCAAGTCATGATGTTGTTTATATGACAAGTTGATTACTACTTAAAAAAAAGAACTTGTACAGCATTATCACAAAGAACAAAACTTTATGAAACAAAAGCGAAGATAAAAATCTGCTAATTTATTGAACATTATTTGAATTAACAAGCAGTTATCACAAGCCATCAGTTTGTTGCATAGATGCAAAATAAAGGGCCTGTTTTAAGGGAAATGTATAGACATTTTATTAAGCAGTACATTCGCAAGTTCCCTGCCCAGTCATGCAAAATGAAAATATCAGCCAGTATTGCTTAATTTATTGAAGCAAATTACAAAAGCCAAATTATTAGAATAAGCAAGCAAATGTTTAAGAGCTGTTAAACCAGACAGCAGAATGTACTCAGTCAATATAGGATGATGTTAGTTCATAAACTGGTAAATGGAATCATCCTCCCATTTACACTCTGGGCAGGCAACTTACCACTGTACCCACATCACCAGGAAATGGGCATTTACATCTAGGAGCTCTGATGCTCCCCACTTTTCCCTTGTGTACTTCCGAGCTCCTGTACAGATCGCATATCTGTAGAAATAATCAAAGCAATTTATGTGGACCATTTACCTACAAAACATCTTTTAACTACCTTGTGGCACCTGCTCTTTTTTTCCACAATTGCAAAAAGAACACTAGACTGACCCGCTCAGGATTGTTTTTCCTGGAATCAGCCTTTGCTTTTTTGTAATTTCTACCTTGTAGAAGCAGACAGGATCTGAAGCTAAATTTTTATGTTGATTTATCTCACCTTGAAAAATATTGCTTCTTTTGGTCGAATATGAAATATAGAATTAAGCACAGAGTAAAGGCTGGATGACAATGGAAGTGAACACACCAGGTAACAAAATTATAGAAGTTGGTTAATGAAAGATTGTGTTCCCTTTCTGCTATTTCCAAACTGTGGTGAAACTATGTAAAAACTATGTAAAAACCATTGAAAATGAACATATTAATTTGGTTCTAAATTTGCATACACATTTTGATCAGAGATCAAAATAGTTCAGTACAAACACCATACAGTATATAGGGAAGCACTGTAGAGAAAGGAGCAATCGAGGCATGCATTAAATGAAACATGCACGATAAAATTACACCATCAGTTTGTGTGAATTTGAGCAAGATAAACATTTTATTAAAATGGCACTGCAAAATACATAGATTATACATAATCTTAAAACGTCCTTTTTTCTCTCTACATAAGTGATAACAGCCAAGCAACGTTAGTATCAAAATGATTAAAATGAAATAGGAAGAAACAACAGTAAAATAATTAAAATTGTAATGATGTATTAACAGTAGCATTGCACTACCCAAGGGTACTAATCGTCTGGTGGATTTGCAATACCAGAAACTCTTAATTGGGTAAATATGCAGATAACCTTTTTTTGCTGAGGTCATTTAGCTTGGTATTGGTTTATTTGACTAAGTGTGAGGATGCATAGACTGGAAACATTTTGGGTGATGGGAGGGATAAGTTATCTTTTTACTTTTAAACTGCATATTTGGTACTAAATTACTAAGTTTTTCACCAGAAGTTATTAATATTTCCACTGGAGATAGCTTAGTAATGTCAACAAAACTGTATGATAACTCATTACATAACTTACCTATATCTCTCATATCTCTTGTAAAAAAAATCTAGTGAAATAACTACTGAGACAAATGTTGTAGTTTCTGGGGTACTTTGTTCCTCTTCAGATACAAAGTGGCAAACATTTAACATGGGACAAATAATGCAAAGATTATTATTATTGCTGTACACAAATTGCCTGCAGCGTTCATTTACAAATAGTCACATCACTGTAAAGTTAGCTGAAATGATGGCTTTTTGGCACTATATCAAATGCAAGAATTATCAAGCATAAAATTTAAAAATTCCCATTTTAGATGCAGGGTTATCTCAAAGGAATGTGTGATATCATTCAAAAAAATTTAAATCCTGCACATCTTCATTTGTCATGAAGATATTTTTTAATATTTTCTGACACCTTCCATATTCTAACATTTTTATTTAACACTTATTTTCTCCAAAACACTTCATGCATTTTAAAAAGTACTTTAATGATTAGTATACCATCAGCATTGACTGCCAAACTTCCTAACTGATAATATCTGCGTCCAATTACAAAAAACACAACAATATTCACTTAATTTCAATAGCCTGCTGTTTTATAATTAATAAGCAGACAGACAGCAAAGAAATTATTGAGCCACCTCTTAGTAACCCATAGAAATGAGTTTCATTATACAAAACGTTTCGAGTTATCTGTTGCTAGGAATAAAACTACCATTCACATGATGCCACATACCTTTAGGTCCCATGTGATGATCACCTTTACTACCCTTTCATCCATACTATGTAGTCTCTATGGAGCTCAGCTTGCTCACCCGTAAGGCAATAAAGAAAAATGAACACTAAATCAAAATAATCTAACAACTATATTTCACCAAATGTCTGTTGATGAGTTTGGGACACTGACGTAATGCTGTAATTGTGTTGGTAATGTTCTTGTAATGGAGCAGGCTCTAACTGACAATATAATCTACTGTACTACTGAATAATTGCTATATAACAAATAATAACAAGCTTCAAATTTTGTCAAAAATCTGCTTAAAAATACCAACAGTCACCAACAGACGTCGGTACCAAAGTGAATTAATTTAGGCAACTACCTAAATTAGCCTAAATTCTGACATCCTGGGATTATACTGTATATCTTTGGTGTAGTATCAGTGTTTATGGAATCATACTATTTCTCAATTGTGTTGCCTAGAGTTTGGACTGAGTCAAGGATGGCAAGAGGAAAAAAGTCCAAGACTAGAGCTCTCTATTTTGTTGCAATAACAAGCCTTATTCCAACAACAGCATGTTGGAATGCTGTGATCCTGTATTACTAGGAACTAGGCCGAGACTGTTCAAACTCGATTCACGCAGAATCCAGAGCTATTAAGAGAGGAAACTTTAGATATTGGTCTTACCTGGATTCAAACACGGGTTTCAAAAGTTAAGACCCGCTATATCACCAAGTCCATCACTTCTACTCAAAAAAATTAAGATCTTATTTTGTATAGAGCAATTAATAGTCATTCCTCTATGCAATACCATATGGTCACAGATCAATACTAAAATAAACAGTACCGTTGATATAATATGGCTGGAAATACTGAATTATTTGAAATTGATGGCTCCAGCTAGAATCTATAATGTGACCACTCACTACTTGGAACGACATACAAAGGTTAAACTGTCTTACATTAAGGTTAGCTGTCAGTTGTTGAGGAGCCCCTCAGTGACAAGTTATGTGGATTAGTATAAAGAAAACAGCAGTTTTATTATCAGATCTTACCTTGTTTGGTCATTACTTTCAAACCAGATGAGCAAGTACGAAATTTAAAGTAACAGTAATAATCAAGTCTTTGCTAAATCTATTTTTTTTCAAAAAAGGTCGCTATTCCATTTTTCTCCAATGGCTAAGCCATCCTTCGCATCATTCATTGCCAACAACACATGCAAGTGAGCAAAGGTCTGTGTTAAAATGATCAGCAACTAGAAGGTGAGATGTTGGGTAACACTCTAAACTGACTCCTTCTGATTTACTTTCGCTCCCTATAGGAAAACACCTGGCTCCTCTTCCCTTCGATAGCATAATTGAGATTAATACAGTAGGAAATCATGGTTGTTGACCCAAGTCCTATATAGGATGGGATAAATTTGAGTTTATAATGTTCTGTCCCTAAAATACCCACTTTCATTTGAATCAATTTTGTAACTTTAGAATGAATATTAAAAGAATATTAGTATTGGGTCATTTAAACAAAAGTGTTTATAGACTATAAGTGCTGATAAATAAAAAGTAAAGAAATAAAAACAGTTTTGCAACATTTTCTGTCAGCCATTAAACTATCATAAATTACATGCTGAATTGCAGAATCACCCCAGTTTAAAATAGCCAAATCTTTTCTCTCTCTCACCAATACAAATGCTTAAAAATAATCAAACTCAATTAACTCCATTAACTCCTAAATCTACAAATCTGAAATCAATTTGCTTCAAAAATTTTGGTAAAGCTGATTACATTTAGAACCATTTACATTATGTTTAAAAAAAATAAACAGACTCTACAGCAGTATGTTTACAACACATAAAATGCATCCCACATGCATTGTTATTAATGAAATAAGATACTGTATTTCATTTATGAAAAGAATATTATTAAATTCTATGTGTATATCTCAAGCATCAAACCTGTGTAATTAAATTTACAACTACCAACAGCAGCAAGTTCAATCTGTGTAAATGCACAAATAGAATGCGAATTAATTCAACTTCTGTACTTTGACAAAGTAGGTTGCATGAACCATAGTTCTTATTACTTGCATTTGATGCCCTCTGCTATATTAAAACTGTCTCACGAGTAAGAATTTGGCAACACCACATCATGCCAAACCTATTCAAACACATCCATACTCATACCATACAGTCTGCTTGTCTTCTGTCATTACTGATGGGGATACAGATACATCAGTGCTTTCTCTTGCACATTCATCAGAGGGGACATTACTTTTGCTCAGGGAGGAATTTAGCTCACTGTTATTCTGATTTTGGAACTGAAATATTCTATCAGTTGCTTTTGAAACTATGACTTGCTGATCCGCGTCTTGATTTTGCACCACTTTAATTGGTGATACCATAGCAATATCAGTCGGCCATGCTGTGGATCTCTGAGGTACTCTACTATTGTGACTTACAGGGTTTGTGGATAAATTGGATTGAGAAAGATGAAGATTGTTAAAAGGAACCCTCTGGTCATTCGGTAACATTTGAACGGTGTTAGTGATCATGGTGTAAGAAACTAGATTTAGGTCAAAGGATGAGGCGGGACTTGAAATAGTTTGATCTTTGTCATCCTTTGGAGAAGCACAAAAGCGCTTCTCGGCATCTTTAGGGCTACAGTCATATTCTAGGGAGTGAACATGGCTACAAGACCTAGTTAGTTGAGACCTCTGTGATTTGGATACTGCAGGAGTCTGGTAAGTTACATGATGAGGGAAATGGGGATGGTGGTAATGGTCTGCTTGGTACTCACTGGGTAGTGTCCGAGTGCTGTTTACCACCTTGGCTGGAGATGGATCTACTGACACAGGTGGTCTACTGTCTCTTGACATGAACTCATGGATACTGGTTCTTCGACTTGAGCCCTCTGCTGTGGAGATCACGTGACTTGCACGGGGTAAAATAGGAGACGCACTGCAGTCTGGTGCTTGGGAGGGTTGCTGTGACATAATTTCCAGTTCACAGGAAGATCCGGTCTTTCCCTGGGTTTGAATTGTTGTTTCTACAGGAGTGCTTGTAACACAGCAACCGTCTGGTTTTTGAAGACTGGACTTTACATAATGTCCAGACTTTTGTGATTTGCCACTGGAAAAGTATGCAGTCTCTTTCCCACCAGATCCCCTAACTGTAGCAGAATTATCAGTAACATCCAGCTTCTCAGTTCCAATGAGTTCAGGTAGATCAGTGCCTTTTGTGAAGTAATCATCTAGAAGATTCTCATGACTTGAAGACTGTACAGAAAAAACAATGAGATCAAAAAGATACCCCATTTGTCACATTCAGACTGATGAAACTTCCCTCCCCCACACCTGAGAAATGTTTTCATAATGCAGTCATGGGGGTTATTTTTTTTGCCCTGGATTGTCAATCAAGATCTGTACCACCTTTCCAATATGTGGGATAAATCTTTAAGAATTATCTTACATATTTTAATTGTTTACAAAAAATTTTAATGTAATTTTCGTTGATTTGCACACAGCATAGAAATGTAAAAGCACATGTCTTTATTTTCAAAGATTAATAACTTTAAAAAAATCCTTGGATTTAATATAACACCTTATTACATCTTCGAGAAGTCTCAAAGCACTTCACAGAATATACTGTAAAGCGAGCTGGCTGTATATTTTGTGGGCAAAACGCAACAGCCAATTGCACACATCAGTGTCCCACAAACAGTTGTGGATTGAGTGACCAAATTATTATTTAAGTTTGTTTATTTGAAGGGATTATTACCTCTGGAAAAGCACTTGTGATGACCCTGTTTTTATGTGTAGTACTGTAATATGCAAATATATTTGCAAAAGAGATAAAGAACATTATTTATTAAGATATATATTATTCATTATTATGTCACGCTGATCATCAATATGACATGCTATACAACAACAACTCGCACTTATATAGCACCCTCCATGCGGGGAGGGGAGGTTGAAGAGGTACAATACAGTACAATAGCGTAATTTAGTTACTTAGTCTATTTACATAAAAGTTGAAAAATCCCTATATACATTACACTGATTTGAAAGAACTTGGCTCTAAGGTGATCTTAGGTGGCAGCTTAGTACTTACAAGCCAGCATAATGCACATTAAGTACCCAGCAGGACAAGTGTGTTTTCTAGTGTAAGGTATCATTTACCCTATCCTTTTCCCTACAAATGCTTTTTCAACCCCCAATGTTGCTGATTGTTGGTTTGGCGGTTGATTCCTGATGGGCTCGAAGGCTCAGGAGCAGATGCGACTGATTGTTAGAATTCCCTTCAGACTAACCTGTGAGGATGGGTTTATGTTACTTTCCTCCAGAAACTGTTGCAAGGTGACCACTTCACTTCCCGGAGATGTAGTTTTACTTCTCTGTCGAGAATGACGTTTGGTATCATCCATCCTAGATTCTTTCTGTTGGAGGGATGGGCTGTATTTTTCCAAACATTTTGCATGATGACCAGCACTCTGGGTTGGAGTGCTACTGCTTGAGGACACTTGATGGTCGTGAATCAGACCATATTCTTCACTGCTGTGGCTTTGGGACCTACTGCGGTTGCCATTAATCGCACCTGCTTAGAGGTAAAATATATTAACATCCTAAACCCTAACTACATCTAGCACTACATCTACATCTATGAAATGCTGCTAAGCATGGAGAAGGAAGCAAGTACTACAAGCATTCGACATTCCTCGGTAAACTGAATGAAAAAAATGTAGGCACTGGTATCCAACACAACAACATCTGTTGAATTGGGCTGAAATGTTTCAGTTTTAAATACAAAGAGCAATACATTTTTATTATGAAAAAAATAGGTAATAGGCATTTTTTTTAACCTTTGGGGAAAATAAGTCACATTAAAAAAATGATTGAGTTCTAATACAGAATACAACAGAAAGCAGGAATGAAATATTAATGAAAACAGTTTCTGATGAAACAGTTTCAGATGGATGGTGCTCCACTTCTGGAAAGAGGCATGAAATCAGGCAGAAGAAATGCGGAGCATTTTTCTGTCCATTTCAATTAATGTTTGAATTATAGCACCCATGAAAATATTCTGAATCATGCAATAAAAATGCTCAGCTTAGATAATATTCACTGCATTTTCTGCACACAGTCTCAAGAACAATCAAGAAAGATATCATGCATAACCAGCATTAAAAATGGAAATGTAAAAAAAATCAGCCGTGGCATACCTTTTACATCGTGGGCATTATTATTGTTATTGCTACTGGATGTCCTGCTACTATCAAGGCTGGTTGGTCTGGAAGCTGAATGGAAAATTGGGAAACAACATGAAGTAAAACTGAGCAGATGGCACTTTACCTTCTGACCAGAGCAAGAGCTGAGGGAGGAATACATGCAGTGTGCCACAGGCTGAACATGCCCAGAGTCAGAAAAGAGTTGTGTCTTACAGATCAGAAAGCCAAGAATTTTCGAGGCAGTCCAATTTGACACTTTGGGACACATCACTACAGGAAAAGCAGATAAACAGAAACATAAGGGAGCAGACAAGAACAGAAGTAAAACATTAGTCCTTTGAGGGCAAAAGTAATAGTTAGTTAGTGAAAATGGGTTATTTCATGCCAAACAGGTTTTTAACATACAGGAAAGATGGTTGTGATAATGTGACTTACAACAAATGTGACAAGGCACTCTGCACATTGTAGAGCTGCCAAGAACAGAAGGAGCTGGAGTGTTTCCATAATAATTATCTTGTAACCCTTCTTGCCCAAATAGAGACAAATATTAGTACATTTAATAAGAAACAGGCATCAGTATTGCAGCTAGTATTAAAGGTTAACATGTTTGTTCTTATCATGCTTATAGAAGTGATACATATTTATTTAAAAGGTTATCTTAATTCATAACATCAAACAAATTTAAGATCATCATATTTAGAATATATGACATAGACCTTATATCTGCTGCAGGTTAGCAACATGTTTAGTAAATTCAGGCTGAAGTGGACCACTTGTCCATCTTGCCTACTGATATATAGGTCACTGGTTAGAGATCAGGAGCAGGTTCCCAGCTATTTTTTTTAAAAAAAGGACTCCCCCCCCATTAGATTAATTCCTTAGATTCATAAAGAATAATGTTAATACTGCCATGACAAAGTTGAAGCTCCGTGCTCTGAATGCCACTTTCAAATCAGAATGGAGATATGCAAAATGGTTTATAATGCATGCACCATTAGTAGAAATAGAAGTATGTTGCAAACGAAAATAGAAAACTTCACAAATGCTGAGCAAAGCAATGTAGCAGATAAATAAGAGCAATGAATGAATTTCAGAAACAAAAATGTTTCAGTAATAGTGCCACAGGAAGTAAACATTAAACATTTCCATTGTTTATGCACAGTGCACAATGCAATGCCAACATATTCTTGAAGACATGAAAAGCGCTATATCAAATGCAAGGATTATTATTATTCTAAATGACACCATCTGAATCTGTGGCTAAGGTTTTAAGATATTTACCTTGACTTCTTGATCCGGTGCGGCAATCGTCAAGGTTGCTTCTATGGGATAATAAGTCTTCATGCGACGTAACACCTAAAAATGATAACATTTTCAGTGAAACCAACAAAATTAATATTTTTATAACAAAAAATTGTGGAATTCCATAGTGTAGTGGTTAGTGTGCTCGCCTCGCAAGGGAGAGGACCCGGGTTAGAGTCCAGGGGTGAAACCTTAGGCAAGTTTCCTTATTCCACACGCCTCTGTTCACCCAGCAGTAAGTAGGAATCTGGTTGTATAACCCCTCCAAAAATGAAACAAAATTTGGTCAATCAATCCACGACCGTTTGTGGGACGCTGCTGGGTGTGACTCACGAGATACAGCCAATTCACTTTACAATATATTCCGTGATGCGTTTTGAGATGATTTAATGACGTGATAAGCCGCTATATCAAATGTAAGGATTATTATTATTAAAATGGCAGTCTAAACTTTGTTTCAACTAAAGCTCATTTTAAAGCCACTTGTTTTCGATTATTGTAAAATTATCCAGTTGGGTCCCTGGTAACACAGAACTTTGGAACCTCAAACTCCATATCATGATGTAGTAAAATGGAGGTTTTCTTATGATTTTCCAAACAATTAGTTTCCTACCATTGTAGAATTAGGAAAAGTCAGTTTGTTAAATACTGTACTCTTATTTCTTATATCAATCTTGCTTGCTTCATTAACATCTTGGCAGTTCCCTTCTTGACTTTTCCAACATTACTTGCCTCTAGTATATCCTAGGGCAGTCTGTTCCATATGTTCACTCTGGTCAAAATAGCTGTATTTAAAGTCTGCATAGCTTCTCTCTTCTAAGCTTGGGTCTGTACTCCTTGCTGCATAGTTTGGGATAAAGTCAAATGTATCATTAAAATGTGCTTTATGTTTGTGTTTATGTTGGTTTACAAAAATATTTATAACTATTATTATTTGATGTTTGTGTGAATGTTTGTGGGACATTGCTGTGGGCAATTGGCTACCGCGTTTTGCCCCAAAAATACAGTCAATGCACTTTACAGTATATCCTGTGAACCACTTTGAGATGTCTCAACAACGTGATAAGGTGCTATATTAAATGCAAGGATTATTATGTTATTTAGAATCTAGGAGCACTTCAATCAAATCTCCCTTCTGTTCTTTCCTTCTGAGCGCCTTTCACGTCAGGAGTAAATATTTCCAGTTTTAATATCCTTCCCTTGTAGGTCAGATGTCTTACGCCAAGTATCATTTCAATTGCCCTCTATTTTACTAACTCTAATACCAACAAGTCTCCACTGCAGTACTGTATAACTAGATGTGTACAGAGTCCAGCTGGGGTAAAGTCAGTACTGTATACAAGCTTCCTGTTCAACCATCTTGATATAACAACAAGTTCATGTTAGTTTTCCTTAATGTTGCTGGACAGAGCTAATACTTCAAAATCTGAGATAGAGGAGGAAAGGAAGAATTAATTTTAGTGGCTGGAAGTCAGGGATTGTTGGGAAGCACCCTGGAGAGACAGAATCAATAGGGATGTTTAAAAGCGAGACACAGATACTGGGGAAGCCAGGGTATTAAAGAGTTATGATGAAGGGGAGGCATTGGGATTAGAAGATTTGTCAAGAGTCAATTACAACAACAACAACAACAAGATTCCATTTATAGAGCGCCTTTCACGTCAGGAGGACGTCCCAAGGCGCTGCACAGTTGGGTCATGACCCGAGCAGGGGGGAAATGGTCAGGGTGAGGGGAGGGAAGGGAGGGAGAGAGGAGGGGGGAAATGGTCAGGGTGAGGGGAGGGAAGGGAGGGAGCGAGGAGGAGGAAGAGAGTCGAGAGGGGAGCTGAAGGCACGGTCAAAGAGAAATTAAATTAAATTGCTAATTAAACAATCAACTTGATGGACTGAATGGTCCATCTTCTCCTGTTCCTGCTTTCCTATGTTCTTAAACACAACTGTAGAATTTCTTGCTAAAGTAACAATACCATAACAAAACAACAAACTGAGGTTTCAGAATCTGAGAGCATGGCTTGGGGTTGAGGAAAGAGAATTTTTCCTGTAGACATTTTCTTAATTTTCCTTTCTTTGTTGTTCCCCACATAAGTTTTCCTTATAATAATTCTGGCATTTGATATAGTGCCCTTTTACACCTTCAAAGATGCCTTAAAAAGCTTCACAGAATATACTTTAAAGTGAATCGATTCTATTTGGTGGACAAAATGCGACAGCCAATTGGGCATAGCAGTGTCCCACAAATAGTGGATTGAGTGACAAATTATTATTATTATTTATATTTTTGAAGGGATTATTACCCCGACTAACACTTGGGTTTTGTATTTACTGCTAGGCAAACAGAGGTATGTGGTGTAAGGAAACTTGCCCAGTGTTTTGCTCTGCGTGGAAATCGAACCCAGTTTCTTGGCTGAAAAGCAAGTAAACAAGCTACTCAGGTATCAGAAAAAACAATTCTGCAACCAGCTGTGTGGTAAAGGCCCTGATAACATTTTCTGTCGGTACAAATTTGAGTGCAAGCTGGCAAGCTGTAACTTTGAGTTAAATATTTAACGTTTCATTTTTCACAAAGACCCATGTACAAATCCTGGACTTCAAACAATTGAACTGGAATGATCCATTAGAAGTTTATTACTGTTCATTAGGATGCCAAATTTCCCAAAGTACCGTAGTATACTCATTACAATTATCTGTTTTTGCATATGATCACCTTTAGTAACAGTAGTCATTTCCTTAAATGGAATCCATACTCCTTGTGATCACGGAAACTGCAGCTAATAAATGTTTAATTCAAAGTTATAGCTTGCCAATCTCCTTGTAATCAAAATGGAGTCTCTAAATGTGAAAATTGGTACTACATATACTTGCATTTGATATAGTACCTTAGCACATCGAGGCATCTCAAAGCGCTTCACAGGATATACTGTGGTGTGACTGTATTTTCTTGGGTGAGCGTGGCAGTCAATTTGCACAAAGCAATATGCCACAAACAGCCCTGGAGTTAATAACCAGTTTCATTTGGGGGAATTGTTGGTCAGAACACTGGGAGAAACTCCTTTCTCCTTTCAAATAGTAACATATGAACGTTTAATGTCCACCTGGACAGGCAAACAGGACCTTGGTTTAAAGTCTCATCCAAAGGATGTCTCACCTTAGTATCAGGAATAAGGTAGGGAAATAAGAGACATCATCCTGGAATGCAATGAAGGAGTTATTTTTTGGTGGGATTATTACCTTTGGAAAGCGATCCGACAATCAACTAACAATTGGGTTCCAACTTATTGCTTGGCAGACAAAGGTGTGTGAAGTAACGAATTTTGCCTCAAGTTTCTTGCCTCGGGAATCAAACCTGGGCCCTCTAGCTTGTGAGGCAGCTGCACTAACCACTTAGCTAAGGAAGTATTAAAGATGGTGACAGGATCATTGGATAGATATCCCAGTAATCCCCCAAAGAAAAATTGACGAATAATTGTCTAAAAACATCCAAACATAAAAATGCTGCAGCACAACTAAAATATGTTTCAAATATTTCCTGGGAACTGAGAGCATTTTTCTGACCATGAAAGGTGCACCTCAGGAACAAGGTTGAAAAACAAAGTGGATGCAAACCTCCGCGAGGTCAATAACAGCCACCAGGCGTTCAGCCAATAATGTCTAATGGAATGTTTAGTAGTTCAGTCCTGAACTCGCGAGCTCGATCACCACGACCTCTTCCACTCCCTTTTTTGGGATGTCCACTTTTTTGCAAAATATGAATGCATTGTCAGAAGGATCGCTCCCCCTTAGTACCTGAATACACCTCTTATTAGCTGATGAATGTATTTATGGGAGGATATGTTAGATTTGCAACAGATAACTGTTGTAACTCGATCATCCGTACAATTTGGCTCTTTATTCTTTGGCTCTCTATTCTTGGCACACTATGTTCCATTTGTACCTTTCGATTGTTTTTTCTGTACTTGTGTAAAATCCCAAAGTTTCAGGATCTCTAACTTAAGTTTAAAAAGTAGCCCCAATGATGTTCTCTTTGACACAAGCTTTTGAAGTGTATCTGGCTGCAAATAATTACCCTCTTCCCACCTCCCGGTGGGATAAGAGCCTGACTGCAGGTGTATTGGGCGGCGGTGTTGGGGGCGGAAAGGGAGGAAGAAGCAAAAGAATCACTACAACAATAATTCTGGAACTAAAGCCATTAACTCTATTAAAATAAAATCAGACTAACCTGAAAAGATTTTTTTATTAAAAATAAATTGGGGAATTTAACGTCAATAATAAACTTACACACATTTTCTATTGATCAACAATGCACTTGAAAATTTGATTAAGACTTCTTTTCCTAGGCTTCTACAGTAGGTGTCGCATGTTTGAACAGTTCTGTACATTACCTTATTTATTAACAAAAAGTTTTTTTTATAAATCAAAATTTGGAAACAACTTTGGTTACGGGAAGCATACAAATTCAAAAATTTTTAGCTAAAGAATAACAGATTCAGGGCCATACACAATAATTAAACAGCAGGTTTTCAATGTGATGGAATGCATCAAATGGTCCCATGCTGTTGGTTGCTATAGCAGTGTATAAATAATACTTGCGGTCCATAGGTCTCAGTGAAAGGCAGCTTCAGAAATGTAACGTTAGAAACGGATGGAGGATTTAGCAAAAAAAATCCAGAGCATGCCTTTGATGAAGTGCTCACATCCCAAATTATTTGTTTTTACTTGTAAGAAAAAGGATAAGATATTTTCAACCATAGCCTGCTCGGAGGTCTAATAATTCACTCCAAATGCAGCAAAGTTATACCTTTATGCTTAAGTTTCTGCTTGGATCTGAAGCCAGAAGAGTTTGCCGCAGCTAGGTTGATAGCGGTTGTGGAAAAGGCCATGGACCTCAGTTCTGTTCTCCTCTGCCCGCCAGGCACCTCATTATGCCCCTCCAAATTTTCAGAACTGCCTGACCATTGGGCTCCTGCTGAGACCAAGGACTGCAGCAGATCATTCATGGCTGGGATGGAAGTGAAAGCAAATGAATTAGCATGTTCAAAGTACTATAATCTTCCTTCAACACACATAGTATTCCACATTTGTTTTAGAACATTCAGGTAAATTTGAGGCTGCACCTATCAGGTCGTCCATGTACTCATAAGACGATTAACTTGAAATATTTTTAATCAAAAATACTTCACAAAATGGTTCCTATACAGTTCAGATGCAATTTTTGTTCCCAATATACAGGACAGGAAGGAGTACCATGCTTTCACCGCTAATTAAAAGCACAATGGGTTAAAGCCAAGGGACTGTTGCCAGTAGGAAAGCTGTTAAGGGATAAATGGAAGGGGATACTAACACATTAAGGCAACAAAACAAATCTGTGAATGAAGAGTTTTGTCAGGCCAAGATGTAATCATTTAACTGCTTTAGAATGTAGACATACCATGATATGATCAAAAAGTGAAAAGTATGAAGAATCAAAAAAACAGTTAACATTAATAAACTGACTGGCCAACAACACAAAACCTCTTCAACCGTATCCATACTATTACAAACAATACATTTTGATCATTTATTTTTTCGTGGAATTGGAAACTATTTAACACTTTATTGTTTTAAGTCATCTGTATACGATTTTTCTGTTACCAAATTTTCTTATTTGTTCGGACCTCATATTTTCTGATTTGGAAGGGTCAGAATAGGTATGAAAGTGAAAGAAAATAATTTTAATTAAGCTTAGAAGAGCTTACAAAACCAGAAGTTGAAAACTCAATATAAAAGGAAAAATAGAAAAGAAAAATAAGGCTAGCATTGTAAATATTTAGATTTGGTTTTGTATTTATTTTAGAAATTGGCCCATAGAAACATGGTTAAACAAATTGTAGGCTGCCTAAAATTGTAATATTGCAAGGTTTACTTTGAATATTGTATGTGGGCACTTTTTATTCATAGATTTTATTTTTTTAAAAATGAAGACAGTATTCACAACTTTAAGAAACTATCTGTAATAACCAACATCAATTTTACTCTTCCACACTCCTGATATTATGCCTAGATCAAATTTATAACTACCATCACTTGTGACTGATTGTCCATGACAAAATGTTAACTGCTCGCTTGGTATAAAAGTGCAGTACCAATTAAACAAAGTATGATACAATTTATTATTAAGATTTATTTTCCTTTATTCCCTCGACTACTCTACGGTGCTTTCTAAAACAACTTATATTCCACCAAATTGTTACCTTGTTTTTTTTAGTTAAGACTGGTTTCTACATACTACATAGACTACCATTCAAGATACTGACGGTTTTTCATGATTCAATGATAGAATAACTGTTCACAAACTTTTGCTGTACATTTTTATCCATCCTTTTGCTAGCTGCAAACCATGATTAGCAAGAATTGTATTTTTCAAGTTTCAATTTCAAAACTTAGGGAAGGTTTTGAAAAAAAGTTTGCAAGTTTCACTTCATTTCTGGTATTTTCAATGCTTAAGATTGATGTTTAAATTTGCTCACACCTCTCAATTATTTTATTTTCCCCAAAAAGGCATCTTACACATTGGAACAATAAATCTATCATATTGTGCCTGTGCTCAGTTTTGGAACATTGTGATGATCTTTTAAAAAAAATGGAACAGCTGTATTCAGAATCCAATTTCAGTGCTAATTAAAAAATAAAGTTATATTAACTGTTCCTGCGAGGATTGTAAAGCATTTCTCTCAGCAACATGTGGTCTCTCAATACAAGCACGACAACAGGGCCTTTGTTCAATAAAGGTCATGCATTAAAAATTAAAACTTAAAAAACAGCTGGAATTTTCTCACTTAATTTAGAAGCTGCCATTTCTTGGGGCGGGGAAATTATAAATACGATTGTAAGGCTGAACTATTCTCTCGGCATTTCATAATTTGATCCACTTTTTAAAAAAAAATCATTAAAAAACAAGCTCAATTATTTGTCATTGGTAAGACAAATAAGAAAATATTGAAACCACTTTCAAACATTTGATAGGAATGTGAAAAAATTACCAAAACTCACAAGTTTACTAATGCAAACGCTGATTCACCCTCATCTATATATACATAAAAATGTTTATGTAAAAATATGTAAACATTTGTTTAGATTTCCCTAAAAATCAAGGCGGTAGAATATTTCAACAATTTTAAGATCCTCTGATACACTTTGCTGACGAACATTCTTCATAATTTTCATTTGTGGAATTTTTTGTGCATCAATTCCATCTTAGAAATGGTTGTATTCGATAACAGATATCACGTCAAAACATTTCAAAGTAAACTGAGTTACCTTGGGGTGTTTGGAATTACACAGGCAAATACACTAGCTAATCTGAAGAAACACCACCCCATAAACAACAATGTTTATTTTGACAATTGATTATTTTTTGGTGAATTTGGATGAGAGAGGAATATCGGCCAGGAAATAGTGCAAAAGGATCTTTTAACCTCTACCTGAATCTGTCAGTTTAACTCCTTATCCAAAGGACGGCATCTCTGATAATGCAGCACTACCATTGTATTTCACTGAGCATCTGCCTACATGGTGAACTGGAGACCTGCTGTGGTATTCAAACCCTTAACCTTCTCAACCAGAGGCAACAGTGCTCCAAACAGGTAATTCTTGAAATGCACGGGCACCATAAAAGAAATTAATATTTATAAAAACAAGTAACGCACGATCATTTCTGTACAAACTGGAAAAAAGTATCCATCCTCTCAGAAAGATTGAGCAGATCCCATCTAGTACGATCAGTCTTGTGTACCATATGGGATTCAATGAATAAACTGCAACTAACTCAAATGCAGATTACTGAAACAAGTCTGCTGGAACAGAGTCTTTCTTGTGTCTCCTCTTCTTGCCAGACTGGTACTGTGGGTGTGGTTTCTTGCCTGAATTCTGTTTGTTTGATATTCTTCCAACATGACCAGAGTTCTGTTGTCCATGGAAGCCTTTGATAGAGGAATGAAACGTTATTGCTGCACCACATTGAGTTTTCTTAGTGCTCCTTATTGAATTGGTGGAACTTGACTGAGAAGATACAGTTCTTACTTCTTGTGCTGATTGGTTTGTATTGGACTGGCGATTGGCAAATTGTTTGGTTGATATGGAAGGTGTTCCATCTGAATCTACATCACTTGAACTGGATAAAGTGGAAGAGGCTACAAACAACAGATCAACCGTTGGGTTAGAGGGGCATTCGTTAAGATAAGCTTCAAAACTCCTGCATTTTGACTGGACTACATCGGAATTCTCTTTGGAAACATTGTTGTTGCATTTGTCCAACTGCTGTGGGTCTACCACTAAAGTTATCTCATTCCCATTCAACGCAACATCATTACTGCTCTGCGGACTCCACTTCTGGTGTATCCAGTCTCTATAGTCTGCAACTTCTTGGGTTATTTGGATTATTCGGCCCAAAATACTAACACATTCCTTGTTAGGATAATACTTTGCAATGGGAGAGACAGCATGACTTAAAACAACATAGCTATAATCAAAGGCTTGCTTCACCTGCATTGCAGCGTACGACTTCCTACCAACATTTTCTTCCTGCAGTGGGTCTTCGATGCACAGCATCGACGGTCTGTATCCCTCGGCCGTATCCCTTTGAAGGTTTTCCCTCGCCACGTAGGAGCCCCCGTGCTTTATCCGAATGCCTGTCCTGAGATAATTGAAGTGTCTGCCGTACAGTTCGAAGAATTCAATCAAAAGTACTCCGAGGTTCGCGCCGGGGTCGCAGGCGTCCTTCCGGGGGTGCAACTGGAGGAAGCTCACGGCCATGAGAAAAAGACTGTAAGAGCTGATCCCACCCGTGAACACCTCGTTCAGGTCCCTCTGCAGCAGGAACTGCTTCAGCACCAGGACCAGGTACGGCAGCGCCGGGTAGGTTTGGATGAAATCCTTGATCAGCCGAGTGGCTCTCACCCCGTTTTGCACGTTGAAGCTGATGTCCACTTTGACTTCGGTGCAGGAGTCCACCAGTTTGATGATGGGCACGGTGGCCTTGTCCAGGATCTTCACGGAGTTCTCGGCGGCCACGCCGTGCCTCCGGAGCGCCTCCTCGACGATCCACAGGGGCGGAGCCTTCCACTTCCCGAACACCACGAAGTCGATGTCGCTGGTGGGCAGGTACAGGCCGGTGCTGAAGCTGCCGAATATCTGCACGTCGGCACTGGGCCACAGTCCTTTGATGACGCTCTCGATCCGAGCGACCACCTCCATCCGCATCTTCTCCTCCTCGCGTCGAGGCGACATGTAGTGGTAGAAGTCCACCATTTCCTGGTGCAGCCCCTCCACCCCCTCGCTGTAGTCCCGCTTCTTCCACGGAGTCCCGTTGCGGTCGCCCCTCCCGGACAGGAGGCTGTAATTGAATCCGAAAGTGCTGGCCTTGTTGCCCCCCTTCTGCTTGTTCCCTGAGCCGCTGTCCCTGCTGTCGGGGAGGCTCCTCGGCCGCTGGAAGTTGCAGTTGCTGTCCCCGGGCTCCGGGGGGGAGACATCCCCCTGTCCGCACCGGTCCCCGGTCCCCGGTCCTGGTCCTGGTCCCGGTCCCGGTCCCGCTCGGTCGCCGCCGCCTCTCTCGGCGGCGCAGTGGATGTTCCTCAGCCCCTGAGTGGTTTCCCAGATTTGCATCCACAGAGCGTTTGCGGGTCCGAGCTGCTCGGGCTGAAACCAGGAGATCCTGGGGTCCATCGCGGAGACCCTGCTCCTCTCCCCCCCCCTCCTCTCCTCTCCTCACCCCCTCCTCTCCTCCCTCCTCTCCCCCCCCTCCTCCTCTCCCCCCCCCCCTCCTCTCCTCTCCTCACCCCCTCCTCTCTCTTCTCCCCTCTTCCTCTCTCCCCCCCTCCTCGCTTCCCCTCCCCTCCCCTCTCTCCCCTCCCCCCTGTCCCCTCTCCCCCCCTGTCCTCTCTCCCCCTCCCCCCTGTCCCCTGTCCCCCTCCCCCCTGTCCTCTCTCCCCCTCCCCCTGTCCCTCTCTCCCTCCCCCCCTGTCCTCTCCCCCTCTCCCCTGTCCTCTCTCCCCTCCCCCTGTCCCCTCTCTCCTCCCCCTGTCCTCCCCCTCTCCCCCTGTCTTCTCCCCTCCCCCCCTGTCCTCTCTCTCCCCCCTGTCCCCTCTCTCCCCCTGTCCCCTCTCTCCCCCCTGTCCTCTCTCTCCCCCCCTGTCCCCTCTCTCTCCCCCTGTCCCCTCTCTCTCCCCCTGTCCTCTCTCTCCCCCTGTCCTCTCCTCTCCCCCTGTCCTCTCCCCTCTCGGCCGCTGAACTCGCCGCTGCTGCTTTATTTTGTTTTGTTTTCCTCCTCCTCTGTAGTGACGGCCGCTCCCTCTCGCCCTGACCCTGTGTTCCCGTCCGCGGTGAGAGCGACGCTCCCTCCCTCCCTCCCTCCCTCCCCGAGACCGGTGGGTGGGGGTTCCCTCCCCCTCGGCGTCTCCGGGTGTCGGTGCCGGTGGCCGAGGCCGGTGGTGCAGCGGCGGCGGCGGCGGCAACAGTTCTATCGACAAAACACTCTCCAAGTAATGGCGACAACCGCTCTACTGCGCAGACGTACTCCAGCGCCTTCCCCACTCGCAGGCGACCGGGTTTGCAGCATATTGTGTTGTTGTTGTTGTTGTTGTTGTTGTCAGACTCGCACGTTGTGACACCTCAGACGGTAAACAGTGCGATCTTCACATTTTGGTTTTTTTTTAAAAAAAAGTTAAACCGATGGCAGTGACAACCAACTCGATGCTGCAATGCAATGCAATGCAATGCAATCCAAGTTTAAGAAGAACACTCCACGTTTGCAGGAATACCTCTGCTGCCCGGAGTGGCTGTGGGTTGTTAGGTTTTGCAAAAAAAATCCAAACTATTCATTTCTTCAAGGTACATATTTAGATATAAGCCATGGCAGAGGTTATGGTGTAGGGCTTTTTTTTTTTCCGGAGAATATTTAACTTCGATCACTGATAAGGATTCCAGATTTTGAATTGAAGTGGGATTCTGAATTCACATTGAATTCAGTTTATGAAATAAAACCCGAGCAAAGCGTTGCACGAGTTTCCAGTCGACTTGTTTAGATCAAACAAACCTCAAAGCAGAAGTTCTCTTTAAATGAACTTATTTTTAAATACATATTCTGTTTCAGTTTTGTCTTTTGCTATAAAAAAAATCATTTTTTTTTAATGCACTCCTTATAATTTGGGTGAGGACATTTTTGTAATTCATGGTTATCGCTCGAGGCCTATAATTTTCCTTTGTAAATGTAATTGCTAATCGATTACGTAATTTTTAAATGTACATTATTTTGCTTGCAGTGCCTTACCGACAGCAATGTTTCTACATCCCACCTAGTGGTAGGAAATAGGAATACTATAACATTGCAATGCATATCTATCACACTGCTAGGCTAGTCTGTCAATAAGGTAAATCCTACAAATTCCTGTTGAAAAAGGATTTTTCTACTGATATTTAGAATCCAAGAGAAAAATGGAAATAATGGAAGAGTAAAATAGACGAATGAAAATCCCAGAAGCCACAAAGGAAAGTCTAGCGACTGAAGTCTCCAGAAGCATTTTTTTTATAAGACTCTCAGCCATAATCTGCAAAACTAACTTTTGATACATTGTTAGTATTCTGGAAGTCAAACTAATGAAATAAGTGACCAAACATCTATTTATAATCTCATTGTCTCAAATTTGAAACAAATAGAGATCCTGAAAGGTTACAAATATTAAACGTCAACTTGTTTTTGCGTAACACAATAATAACAAAAAACACTAAAGCTCTGCAATTTCACAATTCAAGTATACTTTGTAACAATGTCAATATTGTGTTGCTCAATTCAGTCATTAATAGAAATAAATATGACATTCCAGAGCAATCAGCAAATCTCCAACATTAACATTGTAAAATATGGCTATTATCATTGTTGCATGAGGGTGACCGGGTTCCACAACTAAGTTCAAAACACTATACTGTACTTCAATTTCACCAAATATCTGAAAAACAGGCTGGTAAGCAAGCAATATCAATACATTCCTGATATTCATGAGTTTGTCAAAACTTCAAGCAGTACAAATTGAAATAGAATAGCAACTTCCCAACCATACAACAGCCTGAGCATCTTTTCTTGTATTGCTAGGATTTAATTTTGTTCCTCTAAATTCATTTAGTATAAATTAAATTTGTAAAGGGAACTAACTACCTAGGTTACATTTTTGAAGAGATCAGGCTTTAGAGACATGGTTTGAGGGCAGATAGGTGGAGCTTGGATCAGTTGAAAGTTTGATGGTCTTATGGACCTTTCTGTGTTCCTACAATGTCTTTCATAAATTGTACAAATCAAGGGATATAACATTTTTCTTTTTGATATTGTAAGAGTCTTAAGCAATTAGGACACAGATACGATTAAAAGTTTTGCAGCAAAAAATATCACAATATGCAGATAATAAAATGAATACAGAACAAAACTGAAATCTGAGAAACATTCTCAGCTTTTAAAATTTTGCAATGAAAAATACAATCCTCTGAAATTAAATGGTCCGCTTTAAAAAAATACAAGTTTTTAAATTATTTAAGTTTGTTTATATCTATTAGTTTCCTTAAATTCAAAGTATGGAAAATAGCAACCACTGCTGCCCCCCAGTCCACCTCAGGATTCTCCCTCTATATTTCTCCTGAGATGCATTGTTTCACAATGTAGCTAAATAAATAATTCCTATTTATAGACCCATGCATATTCTTATGAAGAAATAATGACATACATGATGCAGGTTGACTTAAATGTTAGAACAAAAGAACAAAGGTACAAACAAAGGGAAATGTAAGGAAGGTTAGTATAGGTTAAGTGATGAAAGCTAGTGCAGCCACTTGAAAAGCTGAACTTTCAGAGAGTCTTACACATGGAGCGACGGTAGAGGGCCTTCATTTTGTCTTTATCCTTCGGTCTGTTCCTCATAAAGGGCAGCCTTTTCAGTGCAGCCACTTTTATTTCAGAGCATGTGATATAAAAGGAAATTGGGAAATGAAAACAAAGAAAAGAGGGAGGGAAAACAGATGGAAGTTAACAAATGCTGAAACTGGAGACAGAAACAAACATGCTTCCTAAGTTTCAGCTGATCATTATATGCTTATGATTACTACACAAATGTTACAATGAATAGTGTATATTCTATTGAATGGAACTGCTCCTATTATGGAGGAAGTACAATTCTAAGAAAATAAAGTCCATCATGTTAGATTTATAGACCACTATAAAAGGTCTATATGATGAACTATGCAAACCTAATCACATCCCTTTACTAAAAGTTCAATAGAGTTTAATCTGTTTTCAATAAAAACAGAATTTCTTTCAATCCTAGTGGGAAACAGGTCATTAATAATATTATGAACCTTTTAAAGATCGATATTTAATTAGTTTGTTCCCTAATGTCTTGCAGTGATGTGGTATTTAGAAACTAAAGTTATAAGCAATAAACGGGTAAATAAAACACCTTGCACATAATATTTCATTAACCATGTGCCAAAGTTTACATACGTTATATAAAACCATCATTTGGGAGTTGTTTGTAAAAACCAAAAGAACAGTTAAAATAGTCTGTGTTACTCACTGCTGCTTTTCTTGGAGGCCTGATTGTCATCAAGAGAGTTAGAACCCACAGAAGAGCTATCTTGACTGTCTTGGTGAGGTAGGTGAAGAAATCCATCACTGGATTCTGATCTGGTTGGAGTATTTGTCAGAGATTTGATGCGTTCTCGGTTGCCTTCCTTTTTGTGCTTTATTAACTTTTTCATCTTGATCGCAATCCAATTGCCCCTTCTGGAGAAAAGGAACAAATGTCCACATAATCATGTACCAGATTTTCATTTTTGCATTTAACCTATTGAAGTATAGGACCACTATTTTTAATTTTATTCAATAATTTTTGATAGTAATAATGAAAAAAATATTTTTGGTATAAATAGTATTCCATTTCATGTTACACCAGCAGGTCAAAGATTCTATTAGTGAAGGAATGTAGAATGAGTAGCAGTTGCACATTTCTTTAATTCTAGTGCATTTCTTAATAGATTTCATTCAATACCTCCGTGGGGGTGAAGGTTCATAGAATTTGTACTGATCCATAATCTTCTCTTCAAGTTTTTCCTTCTGTCGCCTAAGTTCATTCAGTTTATCACTTTCCAATGAAGAACAAGACAAAATATGAGAATTCATAATGTTATTTGCAGTTTAAAAAATTCATAATATACATAATGAAAAAATGCCACTGTTAAGAAAATAAATTTGTACAATTTGGGCCATACACAACATTGTCAGCATTTCAAAGCAGAAGCTAAAGAGATTTTTCAATCTGCAGAATCTATACTAGGAGCACAGATAGAAGTACCAGCCAGAAGTAAAAGCCAGCTGTACAAAACTAAAGGAACAACAAATTTATCTTTTTCCCCTGGTGAAATTTGGTTGCTAAAAAAAGTTCCTATTGAAACTAGCTTGTGATTTGGCTCATAACTGACCTCAATCCATTAAAGAGGAACCTTGACAAACAAAAAAACAGAAGTCGCTGGGAACACTCAGGCGGTCAGGCAGCATGTCTGGAGAGAGGAAAGTGAGTTAACGTGAGTTCTGATGAGTGTTCCCAGCGACTTCTGTTTTTATTTCAGATTTCCAGCATCTGCAGTATTTTGCCTTTTGAACCTCAACAAATAGTTCAAAGGGTTCCGTAGACCTTGAGGCATAAGATTAAAAATCATGGATTTCAAATACATGTTATACTTTAATCTGATGAATATTTAATTTCTACATTATAGTGGGGGAAGAAAAAAAGATGAACAATTTGTCTGGATTTGTTTAATCTCATTGAACCAATACTTACATATATTGTCTTTGCTCCACATGGAACAGATCTTTACTTTCCATGCTTTGTTCTAACAATGTCCTGTTCTGCAACATCAAGGTCTGGATTTGGTCTAGTAGATGTCTGTTTTCTTCCTCAAGATTCCCTTTTAGTTGGCTTAAAAGCTTCAAAGAAACCAGGACAATATAAGATGTAACATAACACATTTGCAAACTGCACAATTAAAATGAAAGGACTGAAAAGACCATATTTTCTTAAAAACATGATTTGCACTACAGTACAAAATTCCATATTTGGTAAAAACAAGGCATAGAGATTAACCAACTGAATTTTCTGTTTAGTAAGTATAATCATCAAAAAAGCATTGAATTCACTACAACTATAAATGGCATCTTAAGGACACTGTCAAAATTTGAATAAAATTGAGACAAAGGAAACTACAGCACAAACATAACCTTAGCATAGTTAGCAGCAACATTGCATGAGGTCTGTCAGTAATCCACTTAAATATTTTTATTCTAAAATGAAACTAGATCAAAATGCTGTTTTACTTCCCATTAACCTCCCCTGTTTATAATTAAAATATCAAATGATATATTTGTGGATGATTGTAAATAAAATAAATTTCAAAGGCATTATAATTTTCTCCCTCAAGTTAATTTCTTACTTTCTTTGTCTTCATTTTTTTGGAGTTAAGGGAAGAAAAGGGTCTTTTTGCACGTTAATAATAATAATAATCATTGCATTTGGTATAGTACCAAGATTTCACTGTAAAGTAGTGACTGTATTTGTAGGTGAAAGCAGCGTGGGGCTTGAGCCCACAACTTTCTGACTGGTTTGGTACCACATAGCAGCAAGCACACAATCTTGTTCCATGCATCCCACTTCTCCATGACATATCTCAGGTATTCTAAGATTAATGTCAGTGACAAGATTGAGTCTAAACATTTAGCATTTTTTATTTTGATATTTTGAATGGCCTATCAGATACTCCTTTAATGTGCATAACTTTAAAATTTCTTCCTAAAGTCTGGTCCTACTTGCCTCTAACCTATATAAGGGACTATTCCCTTCTTGCCTGCAAATGAGTTGCCACATTGGCCTACAAGATATAATGTACTACACTTTACATTATATCCTGTGAAATGCTTTCAGACATCCTCCTGATGTGAAAGGCATTATACCAAATATTAGGATCATTATTCATCACAAACATCTAAATTTGTTAGATAAAATGAAGAATAAATTGCGAATCAAGGTCCAGGAGGCTTACACAACAATGGGTTATGTTGATCAAATACTTAAAATCCTTCACTCTTTGCAAAATACATTCAGCTTTCCATTTTAAAAAAAATAGAGACTGTAGCAGGAACTATAGAAATTTTGTTATGCCTTTCAATTTGTTTTTAGCCTTTTTTTGAAAAATATCTGTCAACATACCACTGAAGGAAGATATAAGCATAATGTTTATATCTATAAACTGTACATGGTGGTGGTGGGGGGAAGGGGAAGGGAAAGGAAAGAGATTGAATTCCACCAAAGGCAGTCTTCTGAATCCCTGTTAATCTATGTTAAAACAATTCTGAGAACTTACACCCACCTCACATTGGTTGTTTAATTTAGTGGAAGTGATATCCAACTGTTGGTACTGCTCCTTCAATTTGGCAAAATCAGCTTCCAATCGGGTTTGCTCTAGCTTGGCGCAATTCAATAAGCTTTTTAGATTTTTGTGGTCCAACTGCAGTCCTTCATTCTCCTTTAACAACTGGCTGTATATTTGGTTCAATCTTCAAACAGAGAAATGAACACTTTATTTTTTTCTGGAGCTGGATTTCTGTATAACAATGCACAGCGGCATAGGTTAACTGATGCATGATGAATGACAGATTTTAAACTTTGCACCATTAAAAAATATGGAATTTAAGGACCCTCCCTTCTTTATTTCTTTTCTTCTGGCCTCCTTAGTTGGAAAGTAAGAATGGGATAACTTGTGGATATCTCCACATTTTGCTAAACATCCAGCACATTTGACATAAACAGCAATCTATGAAATAGATAGAAACCATTTTAGGATTTTTGGATGGGTAGGTTGGATAATCCAATGGTCTATTTCTGTCTGAAAGTGTTACAAGGTAAACAAATGCTGAAAAGGTGTTAAATCGGTGCAAGGACAGAAGACCATTGATGATTAGCTGAAAATTAAGTTTCTTAAAATTTCAAAATTGAATAAACCTTTGAAAAAACGGCTGCACAACCATTTATGCACTTGTATACACAGACAATAATTGACACAAATTGTTTAGAATTGGGCTTTATATTAAGTGAAGTGAAGGAAGGCCATTTGAGCAATTTAATCATGCAAAGTACTTAAAGAAACAATTGGGCTGAAATTTCAGTGGGTGTTATATGAGCGGCTTTGACAATGATATATGCTAATGGGATTTCCCCCATTCTAATTGTGTATTGCTTAAAGACACTATGGTTAACTGTTTTGACCAGAGTTTCAACCCAAGTGTTCTAAAGTCCCTTGGTAGCATTAAAGCAGTTCTTATTTGTATAAGGAGATGAAGCAAATGAATTACATTACATACAAATTTAAAAAAAATCCTACTCAAGTTCTGAATCTAAACCTTGGCTCCAATTTGCATTTGAATTTTTATATTACTTGGAGATGCTAACCCACGTGAAGGGCACTATGTAAATGCAAATTGTTGTTAACTTATAAAATTTTAGTTTTCTTGGGCAGGTGTTTCACCTTATTAGGCAAGGAAAATTAGTAGGGAAACATCTTATATTAAAAAATTAACTGGAAATTCAGCAGCATTCTGAATGACCATCAGATAGTTCTGCAATGGAGACCTTTCTACCCTCTTTGCCAAAGAACAGCATGGAAAAGAGACAAATGAGTGCAGATACAACAACAAGGGAAAACCACCATCACTCAATGTAACTAACCAGAGTTGATTGTTTTTGAATTACCTGTCTTTTTCATTACTGAGCTTCTGGAATTCATCCATCATGGCTTCATGTTTTTTTGAGTCTTGCTGCATTTTTTCCTGTTCTTTTTTCAGCATACTCTCCAACTCCTCCAATTGGTCCTTTTGCTTCAGTAGCTCGTTGTATCTACACACATACAATTTGAATGGGATTAGCTTTTTGCCCACAAATATACTGTCACTACACTTTACAGAGGGTTTTAATGTAATGATAAAGCGCTCTATCAAATTATTATTATTTTCAACAAAAGTAGCAAAGAATTGCCTTGTGGAAAAATAAAACTTCAAATGCAACTTGGTGCCTTTTTTTGAATTCCAGAGGATCTATATCATTTTAAAATCAAATTTGAATGTTACAGTAAAATATACTGCAGAATATTTGGTCACACTGTAGTTACCAACAAAATGTTATACCTGTCCTCAAGGTCCTTGTGTTCAACTTCTAAATATTTATGTGCACATTTCAGCGTCCCATGTTTATTGATGAGAGTTTCGTACTCTGTTGCCTGGCGTTCATGTAGTTTTGCCAATTTTTCATGATCTTTAACGAGTGAATCATACATTGATTTAAATTCTTCTTTTTCCTTCATGAGTGATTCATTCTCATTCTCCACGGAGGATTGTTGGATCTGCAGCTGAGAATTCTGCGTCATTAAGGATGCACTTTGGGAACCAAGTGTAGAATTTTCAACCTGCATTACAAAAAGGTTAAGGTACCTTTAACCTTAAAAATAGAGTTTGTAGACTAATAATAATAATCCTTGCATTTGATAATAGGGGCCTTATCACGTCTTCTAGAAGTCTCAAAAGATTACATTTGAAAAAACCTTATCAGAACTCCCTCTACTCTCATCTATTACAAACTTATTGAATTACAAAATAAATGAAATCATTACATTCTGTAGACTATATCTGAGATTGGGAGTTTGAAATTCCACCCAGTCAATAGTCTATAACACCAGAAATTTGGAAAATTCTTAAATGCCATCTTAAGTTGGAAGTAGTTTTTAATTTGCTTCTTAATCACAACAACAACAAGATTTCATTTATGCAGCGCCTTTCACATCGGGAGGACGTCCCAACAGAATTTAAGAATTTTGACAATTCTGAGAAATCTTAAATGTTAAAATAAAATAGTCCTACAGGCTAAAACCAGATGGAATTTTAGCATAGTGGCATCATCATTTTAGCTGCAACACAATTTCATTAATTTTTTTGTTCAAGAGCAACAATGTATCATCGTTTGTCTAGTGCCATAATCAGCGTCTTACATTGTTCATAAAAAATAATCCTTGCCTTGATACAGCACTTTATCACGTCTTCCAGACGCATCAAAGTGCTTCACAGATTATACTGTAAAGTAAATTGACTGTATATTTTGTGGGCAAAATATGGCAGCCAATTGCACACAGCAGTGTCCCACAAACAGTTGTGGATTGAGTGACCAAATTACTATTATTATTATTTTTTGAAGGGATTATTACCCCTGGAAAAACAATCTGCCTTTCGATTAACAACCAGGTTCCTACTTACTGTTAGGTAAACAGAGACTTGTGGAGTAAGGAAACTTTCTCAATGTTTTCCTTACCCAGGAATCAAACCCAGGTCCTTTTGCTTGTGAGGTGAGTGCTCTAACCACTAAGCTACAGGACTCCACTTCATGGACAACTTCTTGGAGAAAGCATAGATTTTGCCAATCATTCTTCAAAAATAACAAAAGCTGTACTTTAGTTTTTATTGAATCCTTCAGTAGAGGGCACTATACACTGTGGCCAAGATTTAATTACCATCATTGCTGCATTTTAGAAAGCAGTGTAGCCATTTTGAGATTATGTCAGAGACCCAGACCTGTAACTTGGCATTCTGTGTCTGTAAGGTGGTATTGTGCTCCTGCAGGGCTGCTGTTTGTCTCTGAAGTGCAAGGATTTGGGCTTGCAGGTTGCTATTCTGGGTATCTAGTTGCCTCATCTGTGTTTTGAAAGCCTGTTTCTCAGCTTGAAGAGTTGCATTCTTCAGGAGGGGAAAAGAAGAATAAAATGGTTTTACTTAACTGTTTTAGTTCCTGGTATTTGACAAACAAGAATACACAATATATATAAGGCAATTAAAATTTTGAGTTGATACATCATATTTCAACTATTAAATTTGCTTCTGTCAAAAAGTCCAGTATATTTTTAGAGTTCAAAACATCTGAACATGGAAGAAACCATTAAAATGAAAATAATGATTCATGGGAGGCTTGTTATTGATATGCATCTATAACTATAGAAATGATCAGCAATTGATCACTTTAAACATAAAAATAATATAAAAGGATACATTATAAATATTTTGGAGTAGCATTCCTTATTCTTTGAAAAAAATCCACAAAACATCATGGGCAGTACCTACCAGATAAGAAACTAGAATTTACATCATGTATTTTTTCCCATATGTAACCCCATGTAGTTTATTTTTAGATATTAAGGAGTGTCACAAACACATACATGTGTGTATGTGTGCGTGTGAATAATTGGTGAAATTAGGATTTGGTTTGTTTGCAATGGCCTGTGTAGTCAAACAGGATTTCATGCAATTGAAGAACAGCCACTTGAGTCAGACTCCCCTCCTACAGGGCAGATGTAATGGAAAAGAGTTTGAGGAGAAGCAAAACAAAATATTTCTGTAAATCTGGCAAAGCAAATTCACAATTGGAGCATTTTCTGGTGGGGGAGGGAAGGCGGAAGACACTGAATGTAGCACTTGTTCTGAAAATAACTTTCAATCTGAAATTAAGGAAATTCAGAGTGTCTTTCAATGACACTGGGCAGCAAATGTCTGAAAAAATGATTTTGGAAGAAGAGATTATAAATAACTCACATTCCTTTCCACCTCAATAAGTCTATCTTTAACCTTCAATAGTTCACGTGTTGTTTCTTTGCTTTCTCGCTCCCATTTACTTGTAGCCTGGAATTCTTCACCAGATCTACCTTGTGAACTCTGTACCACTTTTTCTTCTTCGTGTCTCTGTTTTAGAGCTTCATAGTTTTTTTTCACCTGTTTCAACAAAAATTAACACTTGTAAAATACTGTACTACAATCTCTTTTTACTGTCCCAAGTTTATTCAAACACATTACTTAATTTGGTAATACTTATATAGGTTATGTCAGCTATAACATATTGGATTAGCTGTTGTAGACATGAACTTTCTTATTCTTCGAAAGAAATCCAACTTTAACAGACAAGGCAAGCACACCAGCAGACAACCTACATTTCCTAACTTGTTCAACCTCCATATATAAGCACAACAAAAATACACTGAAGTTCACTCTGGCAAGATAATGTGTGTCGAGAGCATATAAATTGAAGGTTTTGAGTCTGAGTAGACCGTTGGTGCATCAAGTCTAACCGTTCACCAAAAGATTACTTTGATGCATCCATGACATCACTAATAACCCGGAATCCTTTTAACTTCCAGAAACTTGAAAAGTTCTTTTTATAGTTTTTTTTCATGACGTGTGCTGGTAGTGTGTTCCACACACCTATGATCTGTTAGTAATACATTAACTGGACACTCCAAGGGAAAAGGGCCCAGTAACAAATTATCCGATGTGACGAGTTAGTCTTAGGTCCTCACTGATGCAGGTGCTCAGCAGAGGTTGGGCTGGCATGCCATAGGCCTCTGCTCCATTGCATTGTCACAGGATAGGGTGGGAGGCCCCAGTATGTCCCCACAATAGACGAGAAGCCTCTGTGATGCCTCTGACCATGTGCATCCAACCTCTGTCGAGCATCTGCACCAGTCACAAGATGGGGCGGGAGGTCTGTGATGCAAGACGCCATCTTGAAGGTTGAGTTATCCGTACAAATTTACGTTGTAAGTACTTACAAGAATTTCTATAATACAATAAGCAGAGTGAGACCCTTATTAATATTTTGCATGGCAGCAGCCAGGATAGTGACGGCATGGCATCAAGTTAAACCAGGGTCGAGTTATCTGGAGTTTACTGTATAAATTCTATTTTTTTTGTTGTTCTTATTTTCAAGCTATGACCTCCTGTTCTTGGGTTTTCTATGTAACAAATTGTCTTATTTATATTCCAGTTTCCAAGCTCTTCATAATTTTAAACACCTATCAAGATCCTCATTTGTGATTTACCAAATCCAGACATTACATGTACTATTTCATCCTTCAATGCTGATGCACTTTAAAACCCAACTAGTACTGTTCACACATTTCAAGGAAGAGTTTCAACACTGTTTCTCTAATCAAATCACCGTTTGCTGAAAAATGTCATCGTAAGATGCATTATTTATTATGTTGATTTGCTATGCCTTATAAACTAAAATAGGGCTGGTTTTCTGTAGGCTTTGTGAAAGTAATCCTCAGCAGTTGTTTTAAATTAAACTAGCAGATATTACTTTACAAGAAAATTTGTAAGTTTAATTTTTTTTAAGACTCACCGTCTTCAACTCCTGACGTAATTGTTGATTCAAATTTGTTGATTCTTCTAACCGTGCTTCAAGAGTAGCAATCTTTTCTTCTTTTATTTCCAGAGACTGTTTTAGTGTGGATTCAAGTTTGTACTCCAAAAGTTTGTATCTGCTCAAGTTGGAAAGAAAAAATATTTTTTTCCCCCAAAAAATCATTGCTTTGTAGTCTCATAAAAAAATCAATTTACTGATTCCGAAACTCCCTACTAGTAGTCACTAGTAGACATTTTGCCCACAAATATACAGTCAATTCACTTTGCAGTCTATTCTGTGAAGCGCTTTCAGATGTGTAGAAGACGTGAAAAGCGCTATATCAAATGCAAGGATTATTATTATTACTGTGATGCGAAGCATTTTTGCTGAAAACAGTTTACTCCATGTACTCCCCTGTACATCACCCAGAGTCCTGAGTCCATGACTCAAATCTGAGATCTCAGGAAAGTTAAATTCTGTGTGAGGTACAATAAAATTCACATATAGAGTCTTTCAAAGTGCTTGTGACAAGTGTCACCCAAGCTGCAGAGGGGGGGTTGAGGTGGGGGAGGAGGGAAAGATGACAAAAGCACAGTCAAAGAGGTAGGTCTTGAGACAGGCCTTGAACAAGGAGGGAAGGAGTGAGTCCAAGGGACTTTGGATTGGAATTATAGACTGGGGTCACATAGCCGAAAGTGCATTCACTGATGGCACAGATAGGGAGGAGGATAACTTAGCAGGCTAGTGTATGCCATGTTGGTATGGTTGTAGAGGTAGAGTGAGGCGAGACCATGGAGGGATCTGAAGGTGAGAAAGAGGATCTTGAACTCTATCCACAGGGATGGGGAGCCTGCAGAGTAAAGCAAGGATGGAGGTTGATGGGTCTGCACAGCCTGGTGCAGGAGAGGATGTGGCTTGCAGAGTTCTGGCTAGTCTGCAGCCTGTGTAGGGATGACCTGAGGAGTCCAATGAGCAGTGGATTAGCCAAGTCAAGCCTGGACGTGATGAAAGCATGGATGAGGGTCTTGAAGGTCCCAGAGGAGAAGAGCAATATTATGGATGTATTGGGGATGAACTGAGGAACTGTTTATATTACTGAACATTTTGTTGACAGGTACACATGTGACCAATTTCTAATTCTTCTAGGAATTAGAGGAGAATTTTGTAGGCCATTGTTTGCTGAGCAGAATAATATCTCCCATCTGCAGTTTTAAAGAACTATGCGCTTTAAAACTACAAATGGGAGATATTAATGGCAATATTTTTCATTTCCTGCAGTTTTGAACATCTCTGATAAATAGCAATAGATTAAAAAAGTAATCTTAAGTATGTAGTTCATCAACCCCTTTCTATAAATGCTGATTTTTTTAATAAAAGTTCTTGCCTTTCATCTGTGGTTTCTTCATCTTGGAGGAGTCGCTCTTTGTTCAACCCAATCTTTTCCAGTTCATGAGTTAATTTTTCAAGGTCATTGTTCATTTGCTGAGCTTGCAATTTCTCATTTACCAGGTCCTGTAAACAATAGATCACTTAATAAAACTTCACAAGTTTAGTGACTATTAAAGTTAATCCGTTCGTGATTATGTCAATTTGTAGAAGCTTTCACAATACAAACAAAATTCTACAAAGTTGAAAAGACTGGTTTATAAATTTAGGGAAGTTTTATTATGGATCCAAAATACTAGATGTTAACCAGACAAAAAGAGTAAATATCTTTTTTAACAAATTACAACAACAACAAGATTACATTTGTATAGCGCCTTTCACGCCGGGAGGACGTCCCAAGGTGCTGGACAGTGTACAGCATTTCAGACCCGAGCTGATGTCAGGGAGTGAGAAGGAGTCCTGTAGCTCAGTGGTTAGAGCACTCGCTTTGCAAGCGAGAGACCTGAGTTCAATTCCAGGCAGAGGGCGAAACCTTGGGCAAGTTTCCTTACTCCACACAGAGCCTAATAATAATCCCTCCCAAAAAACAAAAACAATAATAAATTGGTCATTTTCAATCTACGACTGTTTGTGGGACACTGCTGTGTGCAATTGGCTGCCGCGTTCGCCCACAAATATACAGTCAATTCACTTTACAGTGTGTTCTGTGACGTGAAAAGCGCTATATCAAATGCAAGGATTATTATTATTATGAAGGGAGGGGAGAGGAAGGAGGGTGACCGATGGCATGGTTGGAAGGTTTTAAGGTGGGACTTGAAGGAGGCTAAGGAAGGGGTGAGGTGGAGTGATTGGGGGATGGAATTCCAGAGGTTGGGGGCAGAGTGGCTGAAGGCTCTCCCGCCAATGTAGGTGAGGACCAGGATCTTGAACTGGATCCTCTAAAGGATAGGGAGCCAATGGAGTCGGGCGAGAATGGGGGAGATGGGGTCACGGAGTTTGATGCAGGAGAGGACACAGGCTGCAGAGTTCTGGATTATCTGCAGCCTGTGGAAGGAGGAGTTGGGAAGGTGTTTGCATAGTCGAGCCTGGATGTGATGAAGGCATGAACAAGAGTTTCAGCGGCCTGAGGGGTGAGATAGTGGCGGAGTTGGGCCATGTTATGGAGGTGAGGGAAGGCAGAGTGAGTCATGGCTTGGGTGTGGAGAAGAAGACAGTTGAGGGTCGAACAAGACACCTAGGTTCCTGACTGGCTTGAGTTGAAATGTAACCATGGAGGTTGATGCTGCCAGAGCCTGAGGTGCTGAGGTGTTGACGTGAGCCATCAGGAGGGCCTCAGTCTTGTTCTCATTCAACTGTAGGAAATTTGCCCTCATCCAGGACTTGATGTCCGACAGGCAGGCAAATTAAGTTATAAAACAACTAATAAGAGTTTATGGGGAGCGATTAAGTCTGTTTTCTCTAGAAAATAGGTTTCAAGCTGTTCTAATAAAGGTTTTCACAATTCCTTTATACGAAAACATCATATATTCAGCACACCGTGCTCTGTTGTTCCAGCAGTAACTCTTTTTATTTTGCCAATGGAAGCAACTTGTCTTTGAGGCAGTGGAATATCAGACTCCAGAAGAATTTACGAATATTTGTCTGCATTCATGAGATTAATTTGTAATGTAATAGCAGGAGCAGGTATGAGCTAATACCGCAATGGTTCCCGCTTCAATTGTCCTACCAGCACTTTTCCTATCACCATTTCAGTAGAAATAACAGAAGAGAATGTCCCAGTTCATGAACTATATCCCAAATATACTTCTCAATATAACAAATAAAATTAAAACAATTAAAATACACAGCGAAAGATTTTTTTAAAAACTGCTGAAAATTGAACAGTTGATAAAGTATTAAACATGGCAGCCTCCCCCATCACAATCCATGTACATAAGATATCACAGGCAGCTTTAATTGTGGAGAAAGTTTGTATCTATTTTAGCACAGGTGAAAATAGATACAAACTTTGGTTTGCTAAATCCAAAATGATAATTAGAATGGGTATAAAAGTACAAAAATAGATGTATCTTTAAAGCAGATTACATATATGAAAGTTTTAGAGGCACAGCAACATATTAAAAAAANCTCATAACTACATAATTAATGACACAAAACACCTTTTCTTATTAAACTAGTTCAAAATCTTAAATTCATAACAACAAAAAATATAATCTATGAGATTAAACAATATCTGCAAATCTTACAAACCAACTGAAATGCACAGATCAATGAGTACCTCAAATAAAAAGACAGGTTGACGTTAATGTTTTGATGCAACTCTACCAGAATAATTTATTTGTAATATTGTGATGAAGGGTCATAACCAAAAACTTGACTCATTACTCTTTTCAGATTTTAACTGATCTGCTGCGCATTTCAAGCATTCAATGTTTCTTTTAATTACGCAAGTGCAGATCTCTGCCTGCAAAGCACATTTAAATACATGACATCTCAAATCAAGTTGTACAAATAGCTGGAGAAAAAAATCCTGATGTAATATTATTGTATCATTAATCTGCTTTCAAACAGGCACAGCAATACAGAATACTACGTTAAAATACAATTCTCATCACATGTTCTGTCAGATCACTTAAAATCAGAGTTTGACTGTAATAATGTTGCTTTAGTATCATATGTAGTTTAACACCTGGACACACATGTAATTTGGAAAACCTCTTACCTCACGTAGTGTCAGTAAGGTTTTCTTATCAATGGTTGCCTGTTTGACATGCTCTCTGTTTTCTTTTTCTAAATCTTTCAATCGTCCCAATGAGTCTTTGAATTTGCTGATTTCTTTGGCAAGCGATTTATTTTCTTTTTCAAGGCTAGCGATTTTTAGGTTGTTTTCATCAAGTGTCGAGTCCTTGATCTCAACCTGTTGACGTAGCCTCTTATTTTCTTTCTCAAGCTGTTTCTTGTCTTTCTCCAGCTGGACAGTCTCTTGCTCCAGCAGTTTATTTTCCTTCTCTAGCTGTTCTAAATGTTTGCTAGAGATTTTCAGCTCCTCTAAGTTTCTCTGTAAGCTGTGATTTTCTGTTTCCAAGTCCTGGAGTTCATTTTCTAGCTGATTGATCTTTTTGCTGCTGTTCTCTAAGGCCTTTTGGAGTCTATGGTTCTCTAAATCCAGACCTTGATAACTTACCTCCAGTCTTTCTGTTTTCTTGTTACAAGCCTTTAAGAGATCCAGGCTCTTTTTTAGCTGGTCCTTCTCACTTTCTAGTTCTTTGTTCTCTAGCTCCAGTTGTGCCAACTTGATAGTTGTGGACTTTAAACTCTCCACTGTCCTCCTTAACTGCAAATTTTCATCATCAAGTTGACAGTTTTCCTTTTCTAAGGCCTCTAATTGCCCAGTAAGGTTTTTCAAACTGTCCAATGATTTCTTGACCTTTCTATTCTCTACTTCCAGATCAGAGTTCTCTTGCTCCAGGGCATCCACTTTTTCACAAGTAATTTTTAAACCAGTAATTTTCTTCTGCAACTGTTCATTTTCTCTTTCCAAGCGACTCAATACTTTCTCAAGCTCCTCTGCTCTTTCTCCTTTCTCTTTATAATGTTCCAACTCCTTTCGGATTTGTTTCTTTTCAAACTCTAGCTTGTTCAATTTACCACTTGTCTCCTTAATAGATTCATGGAGGATTTTGTTCTCTTTCTCAATGTCCTTCACCCTGGCTTCTGCACTGATTTGTGTGCGTTGCCGCAGAGATGCAATCGTTTGGTTCAAGTGCTCATTTTCTTGCTCCAATACTTCAATCTAGAATATGTAAAGTAAAGCCATATCAATTCACTCATTAGCTCATCATTACAAATTTCTCACAAGATGAGAAGACAGGCAAGATACTTCTTTCATAGGCACAGTCAAAGATTGGAGTTTTAAGCTGGGACTTGGATAGAAAGGGCATGAGACAGAGGGTAGAGGGAGGAAGTTCCAGAGGTTAGGGGACATAGTATCTGAAAGCTTGGCAGAGATGTGTTGAGGGCGGGGAGAGTGCAGCAAGTTAGAGTTAGCTGAGCAGAGGAGTGGGGTAGGAGAAGATCAGAGAGACAAGGAGATGTTAAGGTGTGAAGAGAATTATAGCTGAAGGTGGTGTTTATAGGTTGAAATCGATACACTGGGAGTGAGTGGCGTCTTAGGTAATGGGGAGTCAATTAGCTCTAAATTAGAAAAATAAACAATGTAATTGAAAATAAAAATTCCAATTGTAAAATTCACCTTGCAAATCAATCTTTTTTCTTATTCTCTGGCTGTCGAATTGTTTCTACTTCAGTTTCTTTTTTTCTCTAAATTAACTACACTAATAATTTCTTATACTCTTCTAACTTTATAAACAAATTTAAAACCTTTTATTTACCTTCTTTCCTCTTCCTTCTAATTTCAAACTTATTTTGGAGGTGGGAGAAACCTTCAAATACCTAAGCTTTGAAAACTTCAAACATTGTTTTGTTCATCAGACAACCTAGATATTGATCATGGACATGATCACATCATACATACCAAGTCAACCTTGATGTGCTTTTACATATCAAACAAGGAAGAGATCCTCCAACATTTAGACTGATCTCAAAGACTGAAAGCATCGGATGAATTAACTCAGACCATGGATTATAATGAGGAATACCAAAAGATTTCCAGCCAGCATTTTTATTGAGCGGGCATCAGTAACAGGCTGAGATTCCAGGCTGCTGGTGTTAAATATTGCACAATAAGGTGATATAATAATAATCCTTGCATTTGATATAGTGCCTTATCATGTCTTCGAGACATCTCAAAGCGCATGTCAAATGGCAATGAACTTTCCCCATTATAACCAAAGGGGCTGCACGCAGCAACAGTAAGTACTTTTGAATCATCAAGCCTTAGTGACATCAGTAGCAACCTAAAGATGTGAAAGTTGCCCATTTTTTCCATGGGAATTGAGTTGACGAGCTTCCTGGACACAGTGAATGCGTCATTCAAGTTATAAATGAATCAGAGCAGTAATGAAGTGTATTTTAGCAGGGCTGCACTGTCCCATTTATACGTCTCGGAAAAAAAAAACTTTACTTAACTATATATAATACTCCCATTTGAATTTGGTAACGAGGAAATTCTGACTACTCTGGTTGACTGCAACTATATGAATCTTCTTTGTCAGTCAGTTAGCAAATTTACTAAGGTTTAGAGGTCATATTGAACTCAAACCATCTAAAATTCAACTTTAGTTTCAACAACAGGAAATCATGCAGATGAGTCAGAATTGCTTTCAACTAGAACATGACTCATGTTAGTCCTAATTTTCATGTACAGCAGTATAAACTGTAGGTGGTCTTGCTGCAACATTATCCTGTTCTATCCACAATAGTTACATTTATCTACTGCTGTATAAAAAACAGCCTGAAAGGTTTAATTGCACTCAGAAAAAGAGGGAAGCTCTCCTCAATCTGCTTAGATCAATTGCTTTTACCATTGAATTCAGAATTATAAACTATATCTCATTTTCAAAAAGAACGAAGAATGAAAATGTGGCTAATTTGGGGTTCTTACCTGTCTCTCAGAGTTTTCTCGAATGGTTTGGATAGTTTTTTCAAGCTGGGACTTCTCTTTGATAAGGTCATTACTGAGACTTTCAACATCTTGCATACTTTGCTTTTCATTACTGATCTCTCCTTGGAGTCTGTCCATCTAAAATAAAATGAAATTAATGCTGTAATAATTTTTCCCCATGAACAGATCAGAAAATGGAACTGACAGAAGTAGTGGATATCCATGTATTGTTCTCTTGCCTGGAAAAGCATTGATAGTAGTTATTTTCCTAAACACTGTGCAATTCTCTATCCTTCAATTTTAAAGAATACATCGTATAACCTCCCTGGTTCTTAAACGTCTTATAGTAATAATAATCCTTGCATTTGATATAGCGCTTTTCACGTCTTCTAGACGTTCCAAAGCGCTTCACAGCATATACTTATTAATCTAATACACATTTCCATCTGATTGAGCCATCACTTCTTCTGAATGTCACATTGTATTATCAATATAAATGTGAATAAAGATGAAGCCAGTTGAGATAATTTTAAGTGCACAGTAAAACATTGATTTTAGGATAATAGAAGAGGTTATGAACATATTTCTCCGCTGGGATCCCGATTTAAAATGAGCCCAGTCTAAGCAGATGCGTTTCTTCTACTCCGAATATAATACTATTAAACATTAATAATTATAGGTGCAGAAACAATATGAAAAACACCATAATGCTATATTGTACCAATAACTGCTAAATTATAATGAAACTAAACAGGATTCAGAATTAGCATTAATCAGAAGACAATGGCTCAATACTTCATCTTTGAGATTTATTCTGTTAAAGGAGCACTCTTTTATAAAAAAGTGTCCTAATATGAAACATATTGGATACAGAATCTCCGCAGTAATCAAATGAACATTGATTATTGATAAATTTGTATTAAGTTTCAATTTTCTTCTGGTGTGAACAACAGCATATGGAACATTGACATCAATACTGACAACTGCTGCTGACACAGGCAAACAATTAAACCAACATTAATTATGGATAAAAAAGCAATTTAGAGGGTGTAACCTAATCTCAGGCTTTCAGACAATTATAAAAGACTGGAGTTTTGCGTGTGGATTATAAAATCTTCTGAATCCCTCAATCAGATTATTGCTTTATAATCTCCCCCCATTATCCTTTTTTTTCTGTAACATATGTGCAACGCTTTGCGCTTAGTCTTTAGCAGAGGAATACTGAAACCTTTTTCCTTAGTCTCTGGTTCTCTTTTTCCAGTTCCAAAATCTTAGAATTACTATCTTCTGTTGAATCCCTGCCATTGCGAAGTTCTTCCACAGTTTTTATCAAACTCTGGTTTTCTTTCTCCAATTTAAGCAATCGACTTGAAGTCAATTCATTCACCTCCTGACCAAGGGATTTGTGTGTACCTGTAAATATTTAAAAAATAAAACAAAGAATTATTCTGAGTAACAAGAATCTAAACATATCTAATTACCAATGTAGATTCTAATACTAATCCTTGCATTTGGCATCACTTCTAATCACATCGAAAAGACGTCTCAAAGCGTCTTATTTATTTACAGGACTTACTGTGAAATGCAGTGACTGTATTTGTATTGTATTTGTATTTGTCGGCGAATGCGATAGCACAATTGGGGACAGCAATGTCCCACAAACAACCACAAAACAAATGACAAATTTTTAGCACTGTATTGGAGGCGACCTTAGACTACGTGAGTTCAAGTCCTTACGTGGGATTTGAACACATAACCTTCTGAGTGGAGGAAAAACTGATAAGCACCAAACTCTTAAGAAACAAGAAGGTAATACTGTATAACTGGAATTTAATGTGTTTGCATACCCTCAGAGAGCTCAGTACATTTGGATAGCTGCTCTAATTCCCACCCTAGGTGGAGTGATTCATCCATGCTTTGTTTTTGAGCCATTTCTAGAGTCAAGTTTTCTTCCAGCAGTTCCTCAATTCGCTTCCTGTCCGTGTCACGTTCCTGAATAAAACAAACAACACATATGAACATACAACAACGAAATTACATTTGACTACTGCCTTTCACATCGGGAGGACATCCCAAGGCGCTGGACAACCGGTGTTTTGGATCCGAGCTGGGGGCGGGAATCGGGGAGGGTGGAGGGCAGGGGCGAAGGAGGGTGATCCAAGGCACAGTCGAAGAGGTGGGTCTTCAAGGAGGCAATGGAGGGAGCGAGGCGGAGGGACTACAGGATGGAATTCCAGAGGGTGGGGGCAGAGTGGCTGAAGGCCCGTCCGCCACTGGTGGGGCGGGAGAGGCAGGGGACGTGAAGCAGGCCGGAGTCCACTGAGTGGAGGGAGCAGGCAGGTTGGTAGGGGGTAAGGAGGTCACAGGGATGAGGGGGGAGCAAGGAAATGGAGGGCTTTGAAGGTGAGGACCAGGATCTTGAACTATCCTGTGTGATGAGAAGCCAGTGGAGTTGGCGAGAATGGGGGTGATAGGTTCATGGAGCCTGGTGCAGGAGAGGACAAGGGCTGCTGAGTTCTGGATGATATGCAGCCTATGGAGGAAGGAGTTGGGGAGGCCGACAAGCAGATAGTTTGCATAGTCAAGCCTGGATATTATGAATGCGTGTATGAGGATCTCGGCAGCTTGTGGTGTGAGACAGTGGTTGAGCCGGGCGATGTTACGGAGGTGGGGGAAGGTAGAGCAGGTCATGGCACGCATGTGAGGTAGAAAGGAGAGTAGAGGGGCAAACAAGACCCCAAGGTTCTGGTCTGGCTTAATAAGGTGGAGTGTGCATCCTTGAATAATAATAATCCTTGCATTTGATGGTGATGCTGTCAGCGCCTGAGGTGAGGAGGCGCTGATGGGAGCCAATCAGGAGAGCCTCGGTCTTGTTGACGTTCAACTGAAGAAAATTAGCTCTCATCCAGGATTTGGTGTCTGACAGACATTCAATCAGGGGTGGAGGCAGAGAGATAGAGTTGGGTGTCACGCATACACGTGGAAGTTGACTCCATGTCTGCGGATAATGTCACCAAGGGGGAGCATATAGGTATTGAAAAGGAGGGGACCAACAACAACAACAAGATTACATTTGTATAGCGCCTTTCACATCGGAAGGACGTCTCAAGGCGACCAAGGACAGAGCCCTAAGGATCGCCGCACGAGGAGATGTGGGGCTAGAGGAGAAACCATTTGCGGAGATGAAGTGAGAGCCACACTGTTTTTATTTCAGATTTCTGGCATCTGCAGTGTTTTGTCTTTTGTTATACGTGACTTAGTAGTTCCTAGGAGGACAAACTCAGAGAATTTGTACTGTTGCATCAATAACATTCTGTACAATGTAACCTTACTTTTTTTTACAACTTGAACAAACTAGAAAAGCATGCAACTCTTAAATGCTGCAAATTGCAATGAGCATATCAATTAAAAATAATAAAATGCTGATTTGAACTGAAGCTTCAAAATATTCCATCTTTATTAGTGCATTTCCAGGTAGGATTGCTGTGGATTTCATAAATACAAATGCAGCAGGTCTACGTGATGCTTACCATCTCCATATCGTGCAATTTAGCCATTAACTGTAGGCTCTCTTTCTCTAACTCATGCAGTTTGTCACAACGAGCACGGGCTCCCTCCAGTTGATCCTCCAACATTGCTTTCGTCTCCAACAAGATTTTGTTATCTTCTTTTAGCTCCTGAATTTTTAAATCCAAAAGGAATGCAAATACAAGAATCAATAAGAAATAAATTAAATTGGCCTTTATCCTTAAATATGAAATTTTACACTCTAAAGGTGGTGTACTACAAAATGCCACCCTATGGATTTATATTCCCCTCGCCCCATCTTGCCCATGCTAAAGGAGACATGTTGAGCAACAATATCCTCTATAGGGAAGAATGCACCAGTGGCTGGCTCGAGAATGGCACTGTGAAGTGTTACCCGTCTACTCTTTTGGCAGGAAAATATAAAGGGCATTTAAAAGGGAGCAGTGAACCATAAAAGGTAGATTTAAACCTCTGCTGCAATGTAATATGCTGATCATAGATGCAAATAAATCAGGATTTATTCTGATTTAAATCCAATGAATGTAATTCGTCACTGAAAGACCGGTGTAGGTGTACCATGGGCACAGTTATTATCACCTTCTGCTTGATTTTAAAGCGTCTCAGATATCTATTCATTGACCAATTCTAAAATGAAAGCATCATTTTAAAAATCAATTGAAATGAACAAAATTCTTTTACCTGTGTTTTTTTTAAAAAAGAGGATCTTATAGGGGTGATTCCTGGTTTAAACTTCAGTATTCTCAATAATTTATATTTTAAAATTTTTAAAGCATTTAATTAATTTTTTTTTAGGGTTATTTGATAAATAAAAAAACAACTGAAATGTTATTCTGCAATTGTACCTACCTCAGTTCTCGCCTTATAAAAGTCTATGTCATGGAGTCGCTCTTTGTATCGGATGACTTCACTTTCAAGCTTATCAACTTTAATTGCTTTTTCACGCAATGAATCAAGCTCATCACGATATGCTCTAGCTGAGCGAGCATCAGAAAGAAGTTGCTGGTTCTGATAATTAAATGCACAAATAAACTTCAATACATTAGCTTCTATACGGAATGAAAAATAGATATCTGAACAAACATTTGTAATCAGTATGCTTAAATCTCATGTACAATTTTAAGTTTATTTATGGTAGATTGGGCACTTTGCAGCATGGCAAAAGGAGAACTATTTTGAAGAATAACATTTTCTTCCAAGAATAACATAGTTCTTAAATTAAATGCATTTTATTTAGAATTACGTGCATTTCACATGGCAGCTAATCTAAAGTTAAAAGCAAGTCATATGCACACCTCTTGTTGAAGTCTTTTTAATTCAACTTCCATCTGCTCCAGCTCCTGCTTACTGTCCATCAATTGTTCAGTTTTCTCTTCCCTTAAATCAAATTTTAAAAAAAACTTGTGAAAATAAAAATAGGTCCCCAACCTTCTAAACCTATTCATGCAACACACTAGACTTGTGACAAGCATTCCGAATGTTTTGGACTATGAATATTTACCATGATTAAGTAGAGAAAAAAATCATACGTGCAGAATAAGTGCTCAGTCTTTGTTTGATCTGTTATTTGTGTTGCTAAAGAATTCCCAGCATTGCAATGCAGCTGTATAATATGGAAACCTTGTTCATACAGCTTTTCTTCTTTCAATCACTGTATCTACTTACTGATAGAAATCAGTGACACCTGAAAATGTTCTTTAGCCTGTACTATTATTTATGATTATATTTATAACTGTTGAAAATAGTTTGTAATTGTAATTAGTTTGTAATTGAAGGCAAAATTAGTATTACAACCCTCCCAAGTTAGGCGATACTCTCATGAGATCTATGAGAAATCGTTTATTATGAGATATTTACAATAATGTTTTTCACTTTTGTTTTTTTCATTTTCATCTTTTTTTGTTTCAATAGATGATTTTGTAACCATTCGAACATCTACAAGCACATTATCTCACAAGCTATTAAAGATGTTGTTAATTTGCATACCCTGGATACACTGAAACACTACTTTCAGACATGCATATAATTTCCTTCTGCAGCATTCCTAATTACAACTTTAAAAGGCTAAATATGTTAAAAAAAAAGAATATGTTGAAATTTCAATCACAAGACTCAGCATTTATCCTTTTACAGAAATCCACAACTAAACGTAAAAAACTGTCATAAAGATGTAAAGGCTAATGATAGGAATGCTGCTTTTTGCTTTGACATTAAAGGGCAAATTACCTTCGGAATTAACACAGCAAGTAAAATTCATGCAAATCATCTTTTTTTTACAATCCAGGCGCTATTTTAAAGCAACACACTGGGTTACTCTAGTCATAATATATGCGGATCATTGTGCACCACACAAACAGCACCAATTTCCATCTCTTTACAGATGTCTCTTCACTGCAGCTGCTAATTTAGACTAATGTAGTGTGGTACAAAGCAAAGGAAGTGTCATTAGAAGGCGTCTGGAGGCAAAGAGCTGACAGTTGGATTTGTGACTAATATGGCATTTTATTCTCAGCACTTCAATTTGAAATCTTTTATGTATCAACTTGAAATAGTTTACTTCGACTGAACATCTTAGCTAACCAGCAAATTGTAAATCTTTTATGGGAAGTATTCATTTCCTTTACTTCACAATAACAAATTACTTTTTACCCCCCTCCCCCACTAGTAACCAGGCTATGTACCACCCACAGCTGAGAGAGCAGCGAGGCAACCTGCTCCAAGGTCTTTGCCAATGACGTTCTGAAGAGGCTGCCAGGAGGCATATAAATGTGGGCTGGAGATGACTATTCTCTCTTGGGAAGAGAAAAACACCCACCTCCTCTCAGCATTTCTCCAAATCCACTCAGTCGGAATCAAAAATGTAGAAATTCTAAAACTTTTTAAAAACATATTTTTTAACACAGATCAACACCACATCACTCTTTACAGTTTTTGAAAATGTATTGCAAGTAACAATTTTTAACCATCACTTTTAATGGTAGCCTCTTTAAACCATTTTGCCCAATTTTTGAGTTGTAATAGTTAACATTTTGTATAAATGTAAAACAATATTATATTAGATTACGTTGGTTATACTTGGTCTGTCAGAAAAAAAGTTACTACTCAGCTAAATTAATCCTTAGACAACTTAATCTCAGCACACTTCCAATCAATGCACTTACATCTCCTGTCTGATCCGCCTGAGTTTTGCCTTAGTGTCTGCCAGCTCAACTGACAGATGTTGTCTGCTCTCAGTTCGATGCATTCCTGGTGAGCTGGTAGGTGACTGAGCTATTCCACGGACTGGAGATTGGGTGCAGTCACGATCTTGTGTGAGCTGCAGGATTGTCTGGAAGCAATAATAATCTTAGTTGTAATTCTGATTGGTACATTTCTCTACCTCATAAAATGTGATTGTTTTCGAAGAACAAAATTGGCTGTACGAAACAATTAAGATGATTGTCTCACTGGTTTATCTCACTGGTGTTTTCCACTGATATTTCCAAGACAATTTTATTTTTTCTGAATTTAAAAAAAATATATCCATATTGCATTATTGTGATGGCAGTTCATTTGTTTAGTACTTAAAAACAATTGCAATCCTCTGTACGATAGGTGTCCAATATAATGAATATATACTTCTATTTATATACATTTAATTTTCAACAAATTAGTAACAATTAGTTAGGACAACAAATGCACATTTTCATCCTGGTTCAAAAAATAAGCTTTCACTCTGTATTGAGAAAATATGTCTTAGAAGAGACTGTATAAAGGTGTATAAAATATTAAATAGGATTGAATCAGTCTAGAGGTAGGAGGAGAAATCACAGAAAATTGCATCTAGAATGTTTCTATGTTTAGACGCCCAAAAATAGAGCTATACCCATTAGTATGTGGAGGAGAAGGAATGAGTAAAGAGTGGAAATTATAAGCATCAGGCTCCAGCCTGCAGTTAATTGGAAACCCAACACCTCGAGATTCCAGAACCTTCCAGTGGATATCAATATTTTGATATCTATTATTGATATTGTGTTCTGACAAATTAACCATTAAAATATGGATAAGTCAAAGTTTTGCATTTGTAGATGGTCCAAACTTTAGACAGCATTGTGTGAACAAGAATAAAATTGCACATTCAGAACTCAAAGTCCTTTTTGTGGATAGGGAAACATGCTCCCAAGTGTCAGGGGCCAGAATCCGAACACTGTTGCTGAAAATATCTACTTTGGCCTGCAGAAATAGCAATCTCCTAGGAAGCAGGGGAGGACCACTTCTGTGACATTCCAAAAATTATCTGAAAATTTTGCACATGATATTTGAAGATTTTCACCAGCTTTTTCATGTGGTTGCTAAAAAGCCCTTTACCGTTAATTAACATTGTAAGAATCTTTTGACTGGTTTCAGATTAAAATGAAGGGCATTGAAACAATCTTAAGCAGCAGATTGCACACCTTGATTCTAAGGCATAAATTGCAGTCCACTGCTAAAGTTAAGTGGTTTAAAACAGGTACGGATGGGGGAATTGTATTTTTGTACCAATAGTACATTAACTCCCTATGCTCAAGTGCTGTGCATTCCAGTCATTTGTTTTAGTTTATGTTCGTAATCGCAATCCAAGTATACAATCAATAATTTTATGTACAGTAAGGTAGGATAGAGTGGTCAAACAAAAATTGTTAATCACCCATCCATAAATTATGCAATTTATAAGATAGTATTGTACGGAGTCCTGTAGCTCAGTGGTTAGAGCACTCGCCTTGCAAGCGAGACACCTGGGTTCAATTCCAGGCAGAGCAAAACCTTGGGCAAGTTTCCTTACTCCACACAGAGCCTAATAATAATCCCTCCAAAACACAACAATAATAAATTGGTCATTTTCAATCCACGACTGTTTGTGGGACATTGCTGTGTGCAATTGGCTGCTGCGTTTCACCCACAAATATACGGTCAATTCATTTTACAGCATATTCTGTGAAGCACTTCGAGACGTCGAGAAGACGTGAAAAGCACTATATCAAATGCAAGGATTATTATTATTATTATTTCCTAGTTTTAGCACTAGATATCGACATTTATTTTTTAAAAAAATTGAAAGCAATTTCAGCACAAGGCATTGAATACATAGAACAAGAACCAAGATTAAGTACTTTTTCACAGAATTTCACACAGTTTGCCTGAAAGTGTTTAACATGTTATGAAGTGCAGTATTGAACTGCCATTTCATCAATTGATGATGCAATTCCTTGCTGTTAAACAATAGAGGCAGAAAAAGATTCAGTACTGAACATTATGAATATGTCACTTTTCTAACTTAATCGAACAATTTAACTAGAATACTAATAAAAATGCACTGTACCTCGGTATGTTCATCTCTCTCATCCACAAGCCTCTTTAGATGGAATACCAAATTCCTTGACAGAGAATCAAGGTCTTCCTGGGAGAGGTTTGCTAATTCCATCCATTGCAAGTCAAATACATTCTCCTGATTGTGAGTCACCTTCATAGAATAAAAATGGTATTTTGTTTTATGCAGTGATCTAATTGTACACAACAGTTTAGTTGAAATCAGACTTTTTTTTATATAAGTCCAATTGCAACAAACAGACTTCACAAATAGACTCTGGAATAAGAAAAGCTCATTTTCCTTTCATGACAAAGATTAATATGTGTCATCAATAATATCAGTATGCTTAAAATTTCACCTATTATTAGTGTATAATTTTTTTCAGTTTCTAGATAAGTATATATTATACCAAATGAATACGCCCATGAAGTTCTAGATTACCTTACCTTAGGTATTATTCCTCATACAAAAAGCAACTAGCTACCATTATCCCCCCAAAATTTGGGGACTGCAATTTTAATAAATTTGTATACCGATTTGAATTTCCCGACTATCCCATGCAAGGCTTCATTGTAGAACACACCTTAAGAAATATTTGCCTCCAGATTATGTAAGTTTTGATTCTTGAAAATGCTTTCTGCCAATTTACAACTCTTATCTAATCCAGAAAGAGCTGTTCTGCAGTGAGTTCCACCTTTGGGACTGTGTACAAAACAAATGAGCAATGACATTCTTTGTGACCAGGATTTTGTGCCAAATGAATGAATTGACTTAATTGAAGCAAGAAAGACATGTAAGATCTGCTGCCAATGATAAACAAGGAAGAGATCTTTCAAACAGTAGGGAGAAAAAAGGATCATCTTCTCAAATGTTTTTCTTGTATGGAATGATGATAATGGAACAAATATATGCAGAGATTGAATTAATTAATTTTGACAGAGAATCGCCTGATCAGAGCTCCCTCTGGTTGCCTTATAACAACTCAGCTTGTGCTGGACTCATCTCCCAGCTCAGCACCCATTCCACAACTAGAACTGACCACTGATCAACAGGAGCTCAGAAATACTTTACCAAAATGAATGATGGGTAAAGTTAAATTGCAACACAGAACAAAGCAGGGCTGCATTAATCACTTACTAAATAGTATGTTTGTGGAGTGGAAGCTTGATTATTTCTAATTTCAATTATATATTGGCGGGGAGATAGAAATGACCTTTCTACTATCTTGATTCCTTGGTTTCTTATTTTAGAACATACCTCTTGAATATGGATTGCAACAGCAGCTTTTGTATCAAAATCCAGGTTTTGGATCTTCTCAATAAACTCTTCTTTTCTTTCACACTGTAAAAAAAATTACTCAAAATCATTACATCAATCAATTTTTACAAGACATCATTCATGACAGATAGTGGTGCACAGCAACATTCTCGTGTGAAAGCATTTGTAGAAAGTCCATTCCATGTTTTCACTAAGATGTTGTGGCATCCACCAAGTTCCTTAAACACAATGGAATCTTACGTTCAATGCCTGAAGTACAGCTTCATATAACTGAGATCTAGATTTGGAGTTATTTAAATGGATAATTGCCTGCTGTTAGCAACTTCTTTTTGAAGTAAGTTTTTTTTCTGTAAGTGCAGCAAGCGTGAAACATTGCTGCCATCAATAGGAAAAAAAAGGAGAATCTAGTACAAGTCCTTTCAAATGCCACTGCAGCTTGCTTGATTACAACAACAACAACAAGATTCCATTTATGGAGCGCCTTTCGCGTCGGGAGGACGTCCCAAAGCGCTGGACAGTTGGGTCAGGACCTGAGCAAGGGGGAAATGGTCAGGGTGAGGGGAGGGAAGGGAGGGGGCGAGGAGAGGGTAGAGAGTCGAGAGGGGAGCTGAAGGCACGGTCAAAGAGAAAGGTCTTGAGACCGGCCTTGAAGGAGGAAATGGAGGAAGCGGTGAAGGCACTGGGGGATAGAGTTCCAGAGCCTTGGGGCTGAGAGGCTGAAGGCCCGACCACCGATGGTAGGGCGGTTGGGGCGGGGGATGTGGAGCAGACCGGAGCCAGAGGAACGGAGGGTACGGTCAGGTAGATAGGGGGATAGTAGGTCGGAGAGGTAGGAGGGAGCAAGGCTGTGAATGGCCTTGTAGGCGAGGATGAGGATCTTCTGGGGGATGGGGAGCCAGTGGAGGCGAGCGAGGGTGGGAGTGATGTGGTCGCGAAGCCTGGTGTGGGACAGTACACGAGCTGCAGAGTTCTGAATGACCTGCAGCTTGTGGAGGGAGGTGCCGGGAAGACCGGCGAGGAGAGAGTTCCCGTAGTCCAGCATTAGGATGCTGCTGTAAGTAAAAACTGTAAAAGGAATTCAACCTCATGACAATCTTGTGGGAGACGAAGGCACTATGAATATGAATATTAAAAATAAACTCGAAGAAAGCCCATGAACAAAATGTATTTTAAAAACACAAAAAACACAAGCATTGCCCACCTGAACAGCACAGCCGAGTAAAAGTAACAGAAGCTTCTTCATTTCTTCAATGCCATGCTCTGAAATAAATCAAATGATGATTATGGTAGGGAATTGGCTATAAAAGTTTTTTTTTATGTGTAATAGTTGTTGTTTACAATTCTAGTGATACATCCTGTTTAATGCTGTTAAAGAAAATACAAGGTAACCCAGTCCTAATGCAGTCGTTTGAGTTCAATCTCTCATGTGTCACATTATAACGAAAGGATGAAAAAAATCCAACTTCAGGGTTGTTGCGATGCCAAGTTGTCGTTCATGGTACATCCTGTACACATGTGCACTGTAAGCAAGAAGCGCTATTGATGTCACTTCCTTTGCAAAGTGTTGTGGGTTCTCAATAGAAATGATTTCTCTGATCAAGATTCTCTTTCAAAGCAATTAAACACACAACCTGATGGTTATCTGCTTGTATAATTTTTCTTGAATGGCTACATTGCTGCAGGAAATGCGTCAGTCTAGAATGAAATTATACTGCCAATTCCACATCAGATTCTCAAGTCTTGCAAATAAATGTGCTGAAGTACATCATACATCGTGACTGTCCATGAAATCATATCTATGAGTTGGCTTCTACTTTAATGTTAGCTAAAGGCATTCGTATAACACAAATTGAGATCTAGAAACTGCAGTAACAAAGGAGAAAAAGATTAGCAAAATTATGCAAATATAGTGGTATTTGGAGGAAGTTCCAGTGATGGAATCTGAATTTAACTGATGAATTTAAGTAAATTGATTGAGTGGAATTATGTCAATTATCCCCATGGCTCTTCCAATGGTTAGTTCCACTGGAGTGATCTGTCATTTGTTTTTATATATTGCAAGGACATATTATAGTTTCCTTTGCAGGGCAAGTTTCCTTACTCCACATGCCTGTTTACCTAGCAATACGTAGGAACCTGGTTATCAGTTGATTGGCGGATCACTTTTCTGGGGGTAATAATCCATTCAAAACAAAAATAAATTTGAAAAAAATACTAATTTGGTTACTCAATCCACGACTGTTTGTGGGATGCCACTGTGCGTAATTTTCTACCTCGTTTTGCCCACAAAATATACAGTCAAGTCACTTTACAGTATATTCTGTGAAGCGCTTTGAGATTTCTCGAAGACGTGATAAGGCGATATATCAAATTCAAGGATTATTATTAATCGGCACCGGACAGAAGGTTTCATTCTTGCCTGAACTTATTAGAAAATTCAGTCATAACCTCATAGCTTCTCATAATACATAACTTCAACAAGCTCTAAAAAGAGATCACTTACTATTGTACTACTTACTATTAATTTAATCTTAAAGATGAAATAATGCTATTGCCCGCCAATGAGATCTTTAAAATATGAAAGAACCACCGCTTTTATTGCAGCTGAAAATCTGCAATATTAAAATAACTTACAGCAGCATCACGCTGATCACTTGTTATAAAAAATGATTTGAAGTAACTGCTTCTCTGTGATGCAGTAATTGATCTAAATTATGCAAACTGTAGTCGTACAACTAGGCTCATCCATTGATTTATTACTCAAAACCACATCTAGGATATGTTAATTATGGTATTCAACCAGGTTTGGAGAGAGAAAGCTAATATTGCATTCCTATATTAGAAATGTCTGAAAGCTTGAAATAATTTCATTAAAAATAAAATTTCAGTGGCTGCTATGAATGATGAACTTGCGTGTTTACAGAGCCTATAATACTGAAACACCTCAAAGCGCTTCACAGTAAACTACAGCAACCACTTTGTACACAATAAAGCACCACAAACAACCATGGTGGATTGTACACCACAACACCATGAGAAACTTCAAACTTCTAATTTCGATGGTGCCATGGGATCTGTCCAGTTAGACAGTGTTAAATCACATAGGATACTCTTTTATCAAACCAGTTTCCCCACCCACAAGATTACAACACTTGAAAATATGCTCAACTTCCCAAAATCTTAGCTTTTGCTAGAAATGAAAACATATGTATTGTAAGTAAATAAAGTACAGTACTTCAATTTCTGGTCGAGTCAGCATGGAATCTTCAAATATGACAGCACAGAAAGAGGCCATTCGGCCTGTGCCAGCTCTTTGGAAGAGCTACCTAATCAATCACACTTCCCTGCTCTTTCCCCATATCCTTGCAAGTTTCTCCTTTTCAAGTACCCATCCATTTCCGTTTTGAAAGTTGTTACTGAATCGATTTCCACCAATCTTTCAGGCAGTGAATTCTGGATCGAAGCAACACTCGGGCAAGAAAATTCTCATCTTCTCTCTGGTTCTATGTCCCCTGGTTACCGACCCACCTCCAGTGGAAACAGTTTCTCCCTATCTACTCTATCAAATCCTCTCATAATTTTGAACACTTGTATTAAATCTCCCCTTAACCTTCTCTGCTCTAAGGAGAACAATCCCAGCTGTTCTAGTCTCTCCACAGAACTAAAGTCCCTCATCCCTGGTACCATTCTGGTAAATCTCCTCTGCACCCTCTCCAAGGCCTTGATATCCTTCCTAAATTGTGGTACCCTCAGGTCTCTGTTCCTGAACCCCCTTTACAACTGTACCATTTAGTATATATTGCCTCTCCTCATTCTTCCTCCCAAAATGTATCACCTCACACTTCTCTGCATTAAACTTCATCTGACATGTGTCTGCCTATTTCACCAGTCTGTCAATGTCCTCCTGCAGTCTGAAGTCTATAATGCAAATATGCAATTCCTCTGACTGAATATACACTGTGGAAGCAGTGTTAGCCAAAGGTACATGCTAATCCCTATACCAGTTACTCCCTAACCCTGGTACTGGTTATAACTAGCAACCATGCATCCAAGAACCCTAAAAGGTACAAGTTATCCTCAGTGAACTAGAGCCTTTAATCACTGGTGATCAGAAGTTGATTTATAACATGTTCGTTCCTAGGTCTCGAGGATCTGTCACAGTCTGTTCTTGTAAATTGTCTGGAAAAGATTTTCCACTTCGGTGAATGGTTAGTCCATGAAAGAACCATGACCAGCTCTGACCACAAAGCACTTTAGAAAATGAAAAATAATTAGAAGTGAATGTTATGGATACAAATGTGACTGCTAATTAATGTTCCATTCATAACAATGAGCTGAGTAGCTAATTAATTTGAATAAGGAAGGAACATAACATTGGATAACCAATATCATTCTCAGTTTTTAAACAATCCATCGATATATTGTCTTTGGTTATTTTTCAATGAAGAACAGAAATATCTTGTACCCTTTGCTTTAATTCAGAAGTGAAGTCAACAGTTACTTCCTACCCGGAAACATATGGTAGTCAGTTAGCAAAAGAACAAACTCAGAAAATGAGCCTCATCATGGATGTCTTTATCTTATTAAAACTATGATTTTCACATCAATTTAGTAAAACCTCAAACAAAAAGCCTGACGTTTATGTTTACTTTACAATATCGATTTCATTTTTAAGTGAAGAAAAGATTCAATTTTGAAATCAAAAATAATGACCTGAAAATGTTCCAAAGAAGCACCCAGAGAAAAATAAACAATCACAAATGACCTTTCATATTAAATGGGAAAGTGCTTGGAAGATGTAGTCACTGGCAAGGTAACCCAGGATGGTCCAATCTTTTGGCTGCCGAGGGCTGGATACCCAGATAACACCTTTGTTCATGGGCCACATATGTGGCTCAGTATAAATCTGGGTTTGACAACACTGCTCTAGAGTAATGGTTATGCTTCCCACTTGCAACCATCTGAATATGTTGTGGTTTACTAACATCAGATGATAGTGCACGTAGAAGTTAAATGCTTTTAAATGGATTTTGGAAAGTTTAAGTGAATGTCAACCACATGCACTTCACCATATGTATCACTTCACAGTTAAAACAATAACGAGACTCAAATTAGTGGGTAAAAATGACAAAAGCAAGATGACCTAGGGGTAAAGGCAACACCTAATGAAGGATTATACTGTGCAGACCAGGTTGAAGATTTGATTCTTGATTTGTGCTGAGTTAGCTGATCTTATTAAAGGGCTCCACTGCCCTTTCTACTGTAATAAAATGGGGTTAGGATGGGAAAATCAACAACAGTTTTTACATCTGATCTCTATCCTGCATACATTTATGAACAGGTATGAAAACGAGATTGGACTGGGCAGTGATACTCTCCATGGCTGATTAGCCTGCTAGCACGACTGTTAAGCTTTACAGTTGAACAGAAAATTGGACAATACCAGAATACTATGAGCAACTTTGGAACTCTACTTCAATAAGTCAATGCTTTCTGAAACCCTCCGCACATCACTTTCTTTCAAATCATGTGTTGATTCAATGTTACAGAAATGTCAGCTCCCTTTCAATTCCAACATTTTGAAACACTTTTGATGTTGACGACAAACAAATACCATCCTCATGTCTGGACCAAGAACCGAGCAGTCCTAAATCCCGCAATTTAAGTGGAGGTGAGGAAACGACCCTTAATTGATCGTGCAAGTTCTTTCATCACAGACCATTTCACGGCAAGTGGATGTCTATTCTCCCTCCATATGTAGTTGGTACTACATATTAAAAGATGAAAAGCTTGATTACCACAAGCATCGTGCAATTAAAAAAATATCCTTGCCACGTGCAGAGGACAATAGCTGCTGTGGTGCAGATAAGTGGAGTCCTGTAGCTCAGTGGTTAGAGCACTTGCCTCGCAAGTGAGAGACCTGGGTTCGATTCCCGGCAGGGCAAGTTTCCTTATTCCACACGCTTGATAATAATACCTCAAGAAAAAACAATAATAAATTGGTCACTTCAATCACTGCTGTTTGTGGGACAATGCTGTGCGCAATTGGCTGCCGTGACTCACCCACAAATATACAGTCAATTTTCTTTACAGTATATTCTGTGAAGCGCTTTGAGATGTCTAGAAGACGTGAAAAAGTGCTATATCAAATGCAAGGATTATTATTATATAAGTGTGTTTCACTAATGGCAATACCATTACCATCTGGTAAAAATGTTCCCCATGGTTATTTTAAGCTTTTAAGCTTGTTTTAAATGATGGCAAACATTAGGGAACTATAATTGTAGTCAAATTAGTTATGTATAATTTAGCATCATCATTATTTGAAGAAAATGATGCTCCTTTTTGAAAGAAATATTTTGTATAGTTTGAATCCTGGATCATATAAAGTAGAAATTCGTAATCCATTAAACAAATACTCCAGGGAGAGGTACCAAAAGAAAATGATATTTGAGAGCCTTCCCACATTATCTGGGATTTTTGGAGGTCAAAACTCAAACTTAAACTAACAAGCACAACCAATTTATTCATTTATTTTTAGCAGCAAACATATGTGATGGATTTATGCAGTTATCAAAGGCTGTCCCCACTCATTCTTCCAAAGCTCAGCATTCTAGAATTCAATGCTGAGTACAAGTAAAATATTAAAGCACAGTGTATACTGCCCACTCATAATCTAATCCTCCCACACTCATCAAGAGATGAAGCACAGAAGTACTCCCAGGGATGGTACCAAACTCTCACAATAAACTTACTTGCACTGAAATGAGAGAAATACATGACTTCCTAACATGCTATCTCTCCCTACCAGCCTCTAGACCAAATACTTATTGATCAGTCACCTAAAATTTCTGCCTCAGCTTTACACTTTCATTCTCTTACATTCAGTCATCAATCACTATATTTAGAAACCACACCCTTTCAAAAACAACTAGGAATCATGTGGTGTTCATATTCATTCCACTTTGCAGGAAGAATTAACAAATTCTGTAGTTGGAAAAGAAAAAACGTGTCTATGCTTTTGTTCATATTTTGCAAACCTTGAATCCATCATTACAGAAAAAGTGGTGGTGCTGTTTAAACCATAGTAATTTTTTGAAATCAACAAACTATTCAAATCAGAAATGCCATTGCAGGGGAGAATGCTTATACAGTAGTGATTCAGTTGTGTAACTACATTTCACATTTTACACCATATCCATAAATCCAGGTAACCTAAAAAAATTGAACTTATATCAAAATAAATATCAATCAACAATCTGGTAAAGCATTAGCAGCATATTCACTTTGTAAACAGTTACTTTCAATTAATACTGAAGATTTTAGTTGGAAGATTAATGAGGTAATTATTACTGTGTAGTATTACTCGTTAACGACCGGTTGCTTTGAGTTGATGCTTTCCAATGTGGCAGAGGTTAAATGATATTCTTCAAATTCTTCAATTTACCACCAAGCTACTGCCCTTGAATTCATGATTTCTAGATGCAGAGGTTGGCATCATACCAAGCACTTTTTATTTTTGCACTTTGATCTTACGTGTTAGGAACAATATCTATTGCAGGTTTCAGACTTAGCAATTGCACAACTGGTAATGTTACAGCAGCTGGGGAAAATCAGTCCGATTGCCTTTGAAAATTGAAACATCTATTTTCAGTGACTGATGCAGTGAATATCTTTGAATATATCATAGTGGTCCATGTCTGCATCATTAGTAATGCTCGAACGTGTCAACATCATCAAAGCATGACAACTTGAGCATGGGAGTAAAGGATCTTTAGATACAACACTGGTCCAGAAATTCTGCTGCCAAGAAATTCTGCAGCCAGAAATTCTGTACCATAGAAATTTACAACACAGAAGATCATTCAGTCCATCATATCACTGCTGGCTCTTTTAAAGAGCATTCCTTGCAATACTGAACAGAAACAATCACAAGCAATCAGTTTAGTGCTCCCCGTTTCTTGTCTCCCGTTCAGAAGTGCTCCTTCAAAACCGGACGTATTCCTCCAAGAAATATACTATCTGTACTTGGGAAATTGGGCTACATTATACTCTGAAAATATTGATACTAGTTAGTAAGTACATTTATTAGCCAACCTTTTGTTGCATCAGATTAATGCTCTCTATTGGATATCATTTGAAACCCTTACAACTTCTAGAACCTTAGTCCAAAATGTCCCCCTTCCCCTATTTTTTGTGAAGGCACAAAACTTTAAATAAGCTAAGCTTGTGTTCTAATGGTACAAATCTATTATTTTCGAAATCAAAATTCACTTTGGAAAATTACATTAATGGTTACTTCTGGAGAAACTGCTGTAATGTTTGTTATTTAATCATCCAACATACCTGTAAGAGGGCTTCGGCCCAGAACAAGGACATTTGGAAGCGACATCATGATCAGCTGTTGTAGATTCTCCTGTGGGTTTTTAAAATAAAGTATGAATGCATTTTATACGTTAGGATAAACAAAAGGAAAGGGTCAATCGCTCTCCCACCAAAAAAACAACACACATTAGGTGGAATTCATTAATGCTTGCACTTTGCCGAAAATATTTGATGGCCTTTATAACGGAGTTTCTTGTATGACATTTCTGAAAGGCCTGAAAATCTAAGTACAGTACACTATGTCATAGGGTTTCCCACACTGTTGAGTTGTGATATAATCTAAGATTGGTCAAGTAAGATCTTCCCCTTCTGAAGCCTGAGACATTTGTTTTCCAACTATTGAGATCAGGCGATTAGTGCAAAATGATTGGTTGTTCTGTGTAGCGGCTGCCATTAGGAAATGAATTAACAATTTCCAAAATGTATTTAATTTAGAATCCTGTCAGCTTGCAATTAGACAAGACCTTCATTCCCATCTGTCTGATATATAACTAGACCCAAGTATGGAGGTGAAATAAGCAGTGTACTAAAACACTGCCTTTTACAACAACAAAATTACATTTGTACAGCGCCTTTCACATCGGGAGGATGTTCCAAGCCGCTGGAGAGTCGGTGTTTGGGACCCGAGCTGGGGGTTGGGATGGGGGAGGGCGGAGGGTAGGGGGGGGAAGCAGGGTGATCAAAGGCAAGGTTGAAGAGGAGGATCTTGAGATGGATCTTGAAGGAGGCAAGGGAGGGGGCGAGGAGGAGGGACTGCAGGATGTAGTTCCATAGGGTGGGGGCAGAGTGGCTGGTGGTTCGACCGCCAACAGTGGGGCGAGCGAGGCAATGGACGTGAAGTAGGCCAGAGCCCGCTGAGGGGTGGGAGCGGGCAGTTTGCTAGGGGGTGAGGAGGTTGCAGAGGTAGATGGGAGCAAAGCCATGGAGGGCTTTGAAGATGAGGACCAGGATCTTGAACTGTATCGTGTGTGTTATGGGAAGCCAGTGGAGTCGGGCGAGGATGTGGGTGATAGGGTCGCGGAGCCTAGTGTGGGAGAGGGCACAGGCTGCAGAGTTCTGGATGATCTGTAGCCTATGAAGGGAGGAGTTGGGGAGGCTGACAAGCAGGGATTTTGCATAGTCAAGCCTGGATGTTATGAATGCATGTATGAGGGTTTCGGCAGGCTGCGGTGTGAGACAGTGGCAGAGCCGGGCGATTTTGCGGAGATGGGGGAAGGCAGAGCAGGTCATGGCACGGATGTGGGGTAGAAAGGATAGTTGAGGGTCAAACAAGATCCCAAGGTTCCAGATTGACTTAGTAAGGTGGAGTGTGCATCCTTGGATGGTGATGTTGTCAGCTCCTGAAGTGTGGAGGTGCTGACAGGAGCCAATCAGGAGAGCCTCGGTCTTGCTGACGTTCAACTGAAGTAAGTTAGCTCTCATCCAGGACTTGATGTCTGACAGACATTCTAATCCCCTCAAAGGAATGATCTTTAATATAAATTTAATGTCAACTAAGTTGCATTTCAATGACATACACCTGCTGTCATTCAGACTTTGAAATCACCTTACAAAATGAAAACATTTCACAATTACTGCCAAGTGTAGTGATTTTTTTTTTAAAGTAACCACAGCAGCTATTTGCACCAGCAGGGTCCAACAAACCGATGTTAAGTGCATGTCTGTCTGCATGTTAATATGTGCAGTAAAAATCCCATTGCAATATTCAAACACTTCTGACCAAGAGTGAAGAGTACGGTTAACTGAGCTAAATTTGACCTTCAATTATATCAGTAAAATTAGTGAGGGAAGCCGATAATAATAATCCTTGCATATCCCTTCACGTCAGGACGTCCCATAGTGCTTTACAGGATACACTGTACTGTAAAGAGCCAGTGCAGTCTTGAGGGGCCGAATGGCTGCGGACTGCGCTGTAAACTTCTATGATTGGATGAAACAAAAAGCAATGTTTCATAAAAACAGCATAAGTGGTAAGCTACTTAGAATATCATTTTTAAGCAAACACAGAAAAGGAAGCTATTAAGGTTTTATTTCATGGTCGCTGTACAGGAGACTCAATGCATATAAATAATACATCATCCTTTCATTTGTCAGGATGCTTTTGTTTCCCAGCAATTTTTTTCAAAAGAAAATCACACACCCATCATCAGTATTCAACAACCCTCATCCACCCCATAATCTCCACTGCTTGATCCTACTAATCTCATGAGCTTCTCCGTGCTCTTTCCATTTTAAACACTTTGGATCTGATGCAAACACTATTGTTCACTTAACATCAGGTTGGCAGCATCATTACACAAACAAAATGGCTAGCCTGCAACTGCGACAGCTTAAATGCCACCTACAGAGGTTTTATAACAGCTGCAGGAAAAGCAATTTATTGCAAATAGCTCACAAAGAATGAAGGCTCAATTTTTTAACATTAAAGATGCAATCTTGTTTTACATTCATCTTTCCCATCATTGCATTTTCAATTTCAGCACTCCCAGCCTCAAATTGTTCGTTTACAAAACAACAACAACAACAAGATTCCATTTATAAAGCGCCTTTCACGTCAGGAGGACGTCCCAAGGCGCTGCACAGTTGGGTCATGACCCGAGCAGGGGGGAAATGGTCAGGGTGAGGGGAGGGAAGGGAGGGAGTGAGGAGGGGGAAGAGAGTCGAGAGGGGAGCTGAAAAACTGAATTAGCTTTATTCACGCCAAATTCCTAAAAGGTACAAGGAAGTGAGTAAGTGCACATTTACTGGCATTTCTCAGTTCGGCCTGGAAGAAAGCATTTTGTGTGATAGTTCTTCTGGGTCAATCATGAATGAGATCTTGGAGCAGATCCTAGGTCTCAGGTAAACTTGGACCACTCTATTCCCTGTGGTTATGTCTGCACAATTAAGTTGCGCTACAAAGTTTTATTATTATTAAAGTTTTGAACTGTGACTGGGAGTTAAAATTGTCAGTGGAGGTGGGGCAGTGTTTTCATTTTCTGGGTTGCAATTTGGAAGGAGCACTGAGCTCCAGGATGAATGCCCTCTGGATTCAAAAGAATAGTTGCGGCTTGGCAATCAGCCTGGCTAGATATCCCCACGATCATTCTAAGATTTTGATGGTATTTCTCAAACATCTCCAGTATAGTTTGGATCTGGTCATTAAAGGGACTATTGATTGTGAAGGTCTGTTTTATCGTTATGGCCCAATTGTTTTGATCAGGAAGAGCACCGATATGCAGTACCCTTGAGGCTGAGTTATAGTATGTGATTGACATGTGTTGTGTCATTAACTTTATCCGTATTAACTGTACCCAATGCCTGGCAATAATTAGGGTGGTAGCCAAGTTAATGTGTGGATTATCTATGTACACAGTTTACCCATACTTTGCATCTCACATATCCAATTTATACAACTGACCACATTACAGATCTTGACAGGTTATTTTTGTTGAGGTGTACTTTGAGATGGGGAGCAGGAAGGTTTAGGCCTTAAGATCTATGGCAAGCATAACGGTACCTTTGCTCAGCCCTGAATCTTGAGTAGACAATTATTCTTAAGACAATTTATACTCCTCAAAACTGTTCTGGAAAGGGAGTTAAGTCCCCAGATAATCAACCTTTTCTCACTCGCGCGCACCCACACATACACACACCCACACACACACAAAGATCAAGAACTCCAAGTCAAACAAAATAGTAGCTTCCTTTGAATAATTCAAATGTGAGCTAGTTTTTTCTCAGCAATGTCTGTGTTGTCTTAGTGCCTACCAGGGCTGGTGCTAGAGATTAATCAGTGCAAGGAAGCCCCTTTTAAGCCAATGCAACCGGCAGAGAGTCTGCAAGCAACATATCATTGATGCCCAGATGAAGAGACTTTTAATGGGTTGAGATGCAGTGCAATCTCGGGAAAGACTTCTCAGTTTTACCTTCCCCTTCCTTAAAGTGCACTGAAACTAGTCTCATACTTCTGCATTCACAGAAGGCAGCCGCCACAGGAAATAGGAAACATAAATAGCTGTAGTTTGGATTACCTAAAGCTCATCCAAATTAAGTAAATCTCAACTCAAAAATTATATTGATGAAAAATAGCATGATAACCTTATGAAAACAGAACAGTTAAAACAAATAAAATAAAATCTATTTACACTTCTGCTAGTAATCGGAAAGGAAATGCATAGATGTTTTTACAATGAAATAAAAAACAAGTGAACTTTTTCCTGGGAGACAAATCTGGGTGTTAATAGTGAGAACACAATAAGGGTGCAAAGTTTGTGGAAAGGAGATATTATAATGTCCACTTTCAATCTATTGAAAGTGGACATTAAAATAATATTAATACTTTCATTTCGTACAGCTCCTTATCACCTTTGAGATATCTCAAAGTGCTTCACAGGAGTTACTGTAAAGTATAGAAACTATATTTCTAGGCAAATGTGGCAGTCAATTTGCACGCAGCAATGTCCCAGAAACAATGTCCCATGAAATGAATGACCATTTTTTAATCTGTTATTGTTGGCCAGGAGAAACTTCCTTCTCTTTTCAGCTACTGCCCTGGGATCTTTAACATGCAAATGTTCCTCCATTGAACTAGATTTTAGGTTATGCAGAATTTTAAAATATTTATATGTTGTAGCTATTTTTTGTTTTTAAATTAAGTATAAAAACAGTATAGCCTTACTAAAATATTTTTTGATTTTTCTTAAATGTTCATTTTTAAAAAAATACATAAATTCTACTAATGTATTTTCTCTTGCACTTGGTTATGTAAGTCCACCATTCCATCCTTGCAAGGTTCCACTGACTCCCTATTCCCCAGCAGATTAGTTAAGATCCTTGTTTCATTGAATTGCATTCATGGCTGTGCCCCACTTTATTTCTGTGATCTACTGTAGTCCTAATCCCCACCACTTCGGACCTGCTGCTTCATATCCCAAGGCCCCTCCACCTCGCCATCCAATGGATGAGCTTCAGCTATTTTATCCCCACTCTCTGACACTCTCTCTCCCTATATCTCAGTCTCAGCACTAATTATATTCCCAATGCCAGTGA